CAGACTGTGTCTTCATTTTCACAATTATTTGTTCATTTTTATCGAATTTCTTCGTCCTTCAGCGAATATTTCGATCAGTCATCAATGAACAGGGCTAATTTTCGAGCTGTGATGCAGGAGCGTCGTCGTCGTTAAGCATCTAGTCTGAACAAAACTAACCGTGACGTTCGCCACTTGGAGGTGCAACATCGCCTTTGTTTGTTTATTATCCGGCGAGCGGAGTTGGAAATCTAGTAGTAGTATATATTTACGGTGGTACGCATTCCCGGAGCGAATTAAATCAATTATGTCCAGTAACTAAACAGGTTATGACGTCTTATAATTCTACGTAAGTCTAAATTATCTGGTTTTACTCCTATTTATAATATTAATATGAAAAACAACAGTCAAATTATACTAAACTATTGAGATTATTACTGTTGAAATATTTTCTTTATTGGGTTATGTTTATAATAGTGTTAGTTTGTGATTATGAATCTCTCTTTGGTCTGTCACGGCTTCTTCCGACATCAAGTCCACGCATCTAAAAGAGAATAAACGGCCTGACTTACCATATACCTGGTAATCAGTAATCAATCAAGGAGAAAAAGCACAATAAAATGTAGGCAAAAGAGATCTTGAACAATTTTTATATATTCAAGCTCTTTATCCGAAATTGACAGGATAACCGCGAAATGACCGGAATGGTTATATCCAGTAGTGGGATTCAGCTGGCTCGCACCGGTTCTATAGAACCGTCTCACGGAATTTTAAGAGATCTGCGAACCAGTTAGCATTACTGGTTACTGTCCAATGACTATATGTAACAGAACCGGCTGAAAAAATATGACTTTTGTGATAGAAACGGCTGAGAAAAAATCTGAATCCCACCACTGGTTATATCATAAGCGAACAACGGCCTGCCGTCCTGTTACCATTTTAAGTCGAGTATGGGATTAGCTAGCCAGTTATTTGTTGCATAGATATGATAGAGGAGGAAGCCGTAACCAACGATCGGTTACGACGTTACGTGAACCACCTTACGGCGGCGAGGAGTTCAGCAATCATCTCGCACATAACTATCCCCGCATCGGATTCGAACCTGCGAACCCACACAGGGTAGTCAGATGTGCGGTGGGGAGCGTATTTCAAACGCTTAGTGTAACGCACGGATTGGAGTCTCGAAACTGCGTTGCGTACCCAAAAACTGTAAAGTTCCACGTCCAGGATCCCATACAATTTGCAATGCAAACTCGTAACATTGTGAACACTTGAACCCCAACACCTCAGACGATCACACGAAACTGAAAGAACTTTGTTGTACTATACAACTCGAAAACACGACAGAACAATACGGCAGCAACACCAACAAGCAACTTACTAGAAGCAAGTCTCGTCGTCGGTGGTATGCCGCAACCAATAGCGTGCACGATAAACATATTGCGACATCACCAATTCGCACTCTCTCAAACACGAATAAATAGAAATAAACAAGAAATATAAAATGCGACCTGCGTCCATTACACTTAGCACGATGCGCCACACCGCCGAGCCTCACCGGATAACTGATTGCTGTCCGCAAACAGTGAAACACAAGTGAGATGGCTTCTGAACTTGACACCAAGCAGTCCTGCCAATAGATGATATCCACATTGCGCGACGTTCCGGATCTTCTGAAAACAGTGGAATGTAACTGAAGATCCATTTCGTTGTCTATACTATACGTACAGCCAGCGGAACAATACGAAATAACCATTTTCAACAGCCAAACAAAACGGAAACGTATAATCCGACTTGCAACTGACAGGAGCCAAATGGACGTTTTTGTTTTATTGCCGTCCAGTAACAAAGTCACGTGACCCGTGCAAGTCCTCTATATCATAGGTTTCCAAAGTGCTCCGTACGGAGCCCCAGGGCTCCGCGAGAGAAACCTAGGGGCTCCGTGAGCTATCCGATTACTTTTTAAAATAATGACTAGTTTTGTAACTGTTCAAAGAAACAATAACAGCTTTGATAAAATTTGACAACATTATAGCCTCGAAATATGGCAAAGAGGCGGAATCGAAAAATGACATTATTTATAAGATGGAGCGCAGCCAGGATTCTCAAGAGGTGGGGATTTGAATCGGAAATTTCCGCGCAACATTCTTTGCGATTATAAAAAACGGATAACGAGATTTCTGTTGCGTAAAATATTCAATGTATGGCCGATGCGAGCATTTAAAGTGTCTCGTCGTAATAATTCAATTGTACTCTTAGTTACTCAAGTTTCATTCGAGATTACTATTAGGATTACTAAAATGAAGGAATACTATTCTAAAACAAGAGAGCTATGCTCAAATATATGGACACGTAGAGTCACATAATTTTGATGACGTCATAGCGAAAAAAAAAGTAATAGCCTTCTGGAGAAAATTTTTATCTTTAACCACTGAAAATTTCAAAGCAATTGGTCCAGTATTCGAAGAGAAAAGCGACTTTTTAAAAACGTGTCAAAGAACAAGAACAACATAATATTGAAACGATCGTTATGTCCACTACGTGTCCAACAAAGAGATGAGAGCTGAATTCACGGCGGTACCGGTACCTAACGTAGGTGCGGTACTGAGTTAGCAGTCAGCCAGCATCTTACCTGTACACTGTAGGCCATATACGGTAATTGATCACAGAACAGTTGTTCCCTTGCAAATTTTATGTTGTTTACACTTTAGGACAGATAATTGATCACAGAACAATTCTTCCCTTTCAAATTTTATGTTGTTTCCAGTAGACTCTCATCAAAATAAACAAATATAGTAGGCTACAAGTGCTACAACGCTTGCATTACTGCACTGGTAGGACCGTGAAAGAATAAGTTACGGTAATTTCATTGTGGTAAGACACCGGTACCGGCACCAGTACCAGTATCGTACTTACGTACTGAGCTACCAGTACCGGTACCGAACCTGTAGGTCTGATATTCCGTTCCGCATACGATAGGCTATAAAACTTGCATTGCAGCATTAGTAATACCGCGGAAGGAATAAGTCAATTTCACTGCGTTACGGTACCGGTATGGCAACTTACCAGTACCGACCTACAGTAGCTGTAGTACTGAGCAAGACAATCGATCGCGAAACCGCTTGAAATAAGTGTAAAACAGTGTTCCCATGAGTAAAAATAAATACCGCGAAATTTTGTATGAAATATCATATCTCATAGGATTCATATATAATTTAAGAATAAATAAAAGTAATAGCCTTCTGGTGAAAAATATAATCTTTACTCACTGAAAATTTCAAAGCAATTGATCCAGTAATCAACGAGAAAAGCGATTTTTTTCATAACGATACCAAGAAGAAGACAAATAAGAACAAGAACAACAAAAATACCAAAACGATCGTTATGTCCACTAACGTGTCCAATAACATAAAATACGTGATAAACTGCCACCTATGAATAAATTGGAGTCGTATTTTTGCGATCTTGGAATTTGTCAAACTTGATTTGTTCTTTTGCACTCGAGATTATTATTAAGCAAGATATCGTTAAAAAAATCACAAGATCTGGGCAAAATACGACTTCCGAAAATGTCAAAAGGGAAAAGATTCGACCCGTAGTTTATTAATATGTTTGTCTAGTGTCAAATTTACAGCTTTAGTAAGAGTATATATAATTTATCTTTGAAATTTTGATTTATTTATGACTTGCATTAACCCCATTAAAAAAAGGTTTAGCCTTTAAATTAAGTTAAGTACTTTCAACTTACTCAGGAATATTTATCGGAAAGCTACAATTTTAACATTTCTTTTGGGGCTCCGCGAATAATGGTCAACCTTTTCAGGGGCTCCGCAACACCAAAAGTTTGAGAACCCCTGCTCTATATTAGATAGATAGATAGATAGTTTATTTCGAAAACTCCATAACAAACCTAAATTTAAAATGGAGAATTCTGGAGGACAAGCAAAACCTGCAAAAAAGTTTAAAACATGAAGTATCTCATGTGCCTGCCCACCAGCACGCACACAAAAACACAAGCCCGATTAAATGAAGCTTAGGCCAAACTTAAAAAACAAAATACACGATAGTAATAAACTTTCGGGCTGTTGTACTCTCTTTCAACAATTACGTTGATAATGACCAATACCTACAACCTCATGCAAAGATAATGTGGGGAGTGGAATGTAATAAATTTGCGACGATAGTCATACTCATGAAGCCATGAAAGCTTTGGGAAAAACCAAGCCACGAAAAACTACACTGATTGCTAGATTGGGCATTGCGGAAAAGGTGATAAGTGGTTTCATATACAAACAAACGCAAAACCATGGCGGCAAATTCGGTGTGCGGACACTCATAAAAGCAATTATTAGGAAAAACACTAATCACACGTGAGCAGGTCTGTAGCCTAATTGATACATTGACGTGGCCAACATTGTTAAAACAGTACCGGTATACACACAGAGAGAACAAATCAAAAATATGCCACTAAATGAATGTTTAAAAATGTTACACTGTAAGTTACACTGCAAACTATTTACACATATATAGTTGAATACTCAGTATTCAAGCGGAATTTCTAGAAATAGCAGTATATCATACTCTTTGTCACAAAATAAAATATCTGAATCAATCCCTGTTGTATTCATCTTTCGATTCTGTTATGATGTCCGTATGTTGTCTTTATGCTGCCATGTAATTTCATATTTCGGCCTTTACTTGTTGATATTCCTTAAGTGCTGGTTCATTGTTGTCAATCTAATCTTTCTGCGCCGTTCAAAAATGCGACCGCACCCGACGACTGCCAAACACAAACTTTAAATCCAATCTTTTATCCATAAACTTCTTTAATTCCGGTGGATGGGCCTTGATCATGTTGATATCACTAGATACAAATCTAATAGTAAATACCGAAACACACAGCGCGTAGCATTCTCAGTCCAACAGCATTGTGTGATCTTTCATCAAACAGAGCAACAAAAACACGTCCGACCCAGACGGCAGTCTGGCAGAAGATATTATCTTCAGAAGTTCGGTTATTTTTGAATCGGACTCCATGCACAACTACGTTCTACGTTCCAGGAATGTTGGATCCTAATTTCTGATTCTGCTAACTTTTGAGTAAAAAGCTAAAGGAAAAACGTATAGATATGGCAGCCGTTGGAACGATGTATGCTGTAAGGCCTCATTATGACGTTGATGGTTGCGTCACCACTGCTGACATCATGTATCCTGTTAAGCGACTGTATCCTCCCGTCACTAATCTACGTCAGGTAAAATCAGAAAACTGACTGTACCGTCAGACCGTAATTAACAGAACACCAGTTTTCCACACATCTATGATTGCAAATGTTCCAGTTCCTCCAACTCTTCTTATCAATGTATTTGTATTATGACCAACTTTCTGTCTGGTAAACTTCTGTATTCACTGTGTTGTGGCAGGCAGAACAATCTCATCTCAATGTACAGATGTACATGTGCTTGTTCCCCTAATTCTCGGCTCATTGATTTGTGGTTTTACGGTTAGCACATTGCACTCAGCATTAGGAACACACTTGCTATTGTACCTCTGATTATGTGCAGGATTGCAGGTTCGAAACCCGTTGACGAGATGGGGCAACTTTTTTCAAATTTATCGGCGACTTAAATACTACAGACACTTGATCGAACATGCGTCTGTCTTAAACTAAAAAAATGGACCGAAAAAATGTAATCTCTTGAGAGTGTGACAGATTTTCGCGTTTTGCAATATAACTTTGTATTTCGAAAAATGGTATAATAAAATTATTCATAAATAATATTTGATCTTATTAATCGCAAGGAATGTTATAACATTTGACACCTGGTTTTTGGTTTACAAGAATTATTTTTTGGGAAAACTCGCAGGTCGCGAAAATCATTTATTAATGTATATTGAAGCAAGGCACGTCTGTAAAAATTTAAGATTGTTGTAATCAGTATATCGGAATGTCACCAGTCGGAACAAATAATTATTATTATACGCAAACTAGATAGTAAAGCGGAAAATGGTGCAATAACGACTCTTCGCCGTGAAGTGTTCATCGCCATCGTCTTGTTATGAATATGCCGGCTGTGATTACCGTATTTGGTGGGTTCTTTCCGAGAAAACGCAAGTATAATTAAACGAAAGAGATTTCCACGCGAGGTAAAACGCTCGTCTTTGATTAATAAATTAGCGCATTGGCGCCGAAGAGGCGGGAACCGAATCCTGTTGGATTCGAATACTTTGGGATTCGTATCCTCCGGATTCTGTATTTCATTTTGCCCATCTCTAGTTAAAGTTAGTCGTGACCTAGATTATTTGCTGACAACTTGAATTTGTTTTATAGGATAAAAGTCTTGAAGAGCGTCAAGAGTCGTTACTGAAAAAACTTGACTCTCTGATTGCAACAGCAACTGCAAGGTTGGGTGATGTTGCGCAATCCACAAGTAATGTTACGCAATCAGATGGAAGATTCAGTGAAATTCTACAGGCAAGAAACACATTTCGATAACTTTAGTCTTCTTATTTTGACTTGTGTTGTGTATTTTCTCTGGTATCCAGGCTGGATAGCGGCTGTCAAAACAGCGTCTGTCATAATGGCGACTTCATAATAGCGACGTAATCAAGTGAGCGACTGTGATCAAGTGAACGACCCCAAATTGGGTTGGAGTGATAAGTAGGTAGGGTCGCAAACAGGTCATGGGGTCGGTGGGGTCGCTTAGGTATGGTAGAGGATGGATGTACAAAACATCTAAGATTTGACAAACCAAGGTAAATTTAGCAGTTTGTACCATGGCTTCATGTAAAACAGGAACATAGGCATCGCTCCATGCTTATGCTATAGAAAATGTAGGTGCTTAATATCATATTTTGGTTTCAGCTTAGTTTACTTAATACCACCACATTACCAAACTCAAAAGTCCAGTGAAAGAAGCTCTTACGTTTCATGAAAAATATATATATTGACCTGGGGTCGCACTGGAAACTTGAAAGATGTATTTGGGGTCGTCCTGAAAAAAGCTTGGGAACCCCTGGACTAACCCGAACGCTATCATAACAGTTGCTGTTCTAATGCGATCGCCATTATGACAGTCGCTATTTGGAAGCCGAGCCATTTTTTCCATGCCTGCTGAAAATGATGTATATGCCGCTTGCAATATTTCTATCACAACTCTCTATACCGGGGGCGTGCAACTGTTTAGCACAATGGGCCACAAACTACAAGTATAGTGATACCAGGGGCCAGACCATCGAACAACTTATTCAACAATCCAAAGCGTTACTAAAAGTGGAGCATTTGCTTATCCTGTCTTTTAGAGAAACTTCGATGTCTTCCGATAGATCGTCTATTTGGCGAGCCACTGTAAAACGATACAGACACTAATTTTTCCTTCTCTAGGGATACATTTTCGATGAATACCTCCAAACAATTCTTAATGAATTCACAATCGCTGTACGGCTTTCCTTTTTCCTCAATTGCTCCAGCTATCTTGAAGCTTTGTAACTATCTCAGTGTCCTTCTTGTAACCATGAAATACCTCTTGCTGTTTGCTCAAAGACTTTTTCAATTGCTGCATTTTGTCAACCCATGACTGACCCACAATGCTATCGTAGCTAGCAGAGTGTTTCGTACAATAGTGTCGCTTGATATTGTACTCCTGCATTACTGCTATAGCGCTTTGGCAAATCAGGCAAACTACATCTTGATTATGTTGCACAATGAAGTATTTTACACACCACTCATTGTTGAACTTGCGCCTTTCATAATCAACTTTCCTTTTTTAATGGTAGACATTCGAACTTTGTTAAGCTTTTTTGTATAATAACCTTCGACCATAAAGTAAGATCACGTACCACTGCCATAACAAGGCAGTTTTCATACAATGCACATTATGCTGCAACAATGGGTTGGTCGTCACAGTACTGTAGACGGAATCAAACTGCAGTGTAGACTTATATTGTAGTCAAAAATGCCAATAAGGCTGTTACAATTCAGATAAAATTATAAATTAATAGGTTAAGAAGTATGAAGTCTGTAGCGGGCCATGTACCCACGGGCCGTATGTTGCACGCCCTCTGCTCTATACTTTAAGTTATTGGCCCAATGAAGCGAATCTATATAAAAAATATTTAATGAGTCGGCCCTCCTGGTGGCTGGAAGAGAAGATGTTTTTCCAACATTATGCGGCCATTTTAACAGCTTTCCTTTCCCACTGAGTAGCGATGAAATCCTGTCCTGTGTATCCTGTGTAATTAATTTTTATCGGATCATTAGCTAGTTACCCTCTCACCTCGCAAATCTAGAATTAAATTCCCCATTTTCTAAATATATTGAATTTTAAGTAGAGGCAACTATATAGAGTGTTTTTTGAAAAAAATCGAGTACCGTACATTTTGGGATGCAGCCTTTTGAAAATAAGAATTTCTAAAAGCGCCTCTTTTGAAAAATCTTCGCCCACCTCTGCATTAGGCCATAGCGTTATTTATGTCCAATTTCTTTTTCAGCCTGGTTGCCCGGTGGATATTGTGATTCGAACAAATCCAGCCAACCCGCCCATTTGGTTAAACCATGTGAAGAATCTTCTGGAGGACTCAGGGGTAAGGACGGTTATATTAATTGCTGAGCTGACCTGTAGATCAAACTTAAAACCAACCAATTTCAAATTTTGTGTTCCTGAAATGGAGGTGGTCATAGGAAATAAGGCGGTGTATCAATAAGGACGTGTACCAATTTTGTTTGTCTACTTTACATCAAGTTGTATAAAGCGGGGTTTCCCAAACTGGGGTCCGCAGACCCCTGGGGGTTCGTGATGACTGCACAGGGGTAGCAACGATATGAAAAAGTATGACGGACTTTAATGATTGATTTCCATCAAAGAGCCATTGCCTCTTTTTGGTTGAGCGTTGCGGACGAAGATCCATTTTTGTCAGAAAAGCATTAAAATTTTATTGCTTCCTGCAACGACCTACATGTGTGAGACAGCATTTTCAGCTCTTACCAATATGATGACAAAATACAAGTCGAGACTTGTCGTATAGTCAGTTCTACGAGTTTGCTTGTCACAAATTGCTCATTGCATCGATAAATTGTGCATCGAAAAGCAACCTCATTCATCACATTATTGTCATTTGTGTTGAAAAATTAGCGAATAATACTTCCTCGCTGGTTAGGCACAAAAATTTATACGACATGGAATAGGGGCCCGTCAAAACTAAGATTCATAAATAGGTTTGGGAAACCCTGGTATAAAGGGACTGATATCTATGGACAATGAAATTATGGCCTAACTCGATACACACACTACAGGGTAGCGAAAATAATACTAGTGTTTATTTTCAAGTTTTGTTGTAATCCTATATGACCCATATTTCAAGATGGTATAGAGCAGGGTGGTCCAAACCCAGGCCCCCGGGCCACATGTGGCCCGCCGCTTCATTATCTGTGGCCCGCGTCACATACGGAGAGTGATCAAAAAATTGCATTTCGTGTTGTTTCGTAATAATATTAATCAGTAAAATCTTTTGACATATTGTTACATCACTAATGTAATCACTGAATTGACTAGTGTCATGGCTAGCTGAGGCAACTAGCGAAGTTGAATGATGTGCTTGGGTAGTCTAAATTATTATCTGACTTTCTATGTTTGGTCGGGAATATATGCAAACAATACAGGCATCATAGAAAATTAAAAATTGAATGCAGATTCCATTAGCCTGGAATGGCTATGTCTGACAACTATGAAAGTGTTTGTTTTGTATTGCATTGTTTACCTATTCTTGGCACTATTGTAGCGTGCGAACAATTCGAAAATAATTTTGTGGCCCGCGGAGCCGAAAGTCTTGGACCACCCTGGTATAGTTTTATTGGCCGCAAAGTGGATCTATGGATTGTTTTGCAAAACTGATTTTGTGGTCGGTCAAAAAAATGATTTTCTCTGCGATTATTTGTCATCCAATTTTAAATTTCAGTGCTTGAAATAGAGGAATTAGCATAATTCGTTTACTTTTAATATGAATAGAGGGAAGCCGATAATACGGCCTATTCATACGGCAAACCATGACTATTACGTTTGGTTACCAGTCATTAGCCAATGTCTGTATGGGAATGGTTAGTCAGTTAATCAGATGCATGGACATGATGGTGAAAAAGTCGTAACAGATAAATTGACCTGGCTGTCGAATCTTATCATATCAGGTTTCTTTATCTCTGGAATAGATAATTATTTTCATATTAGAGTATGAATGATAAAATACTTTCTGATATTCAGATCAGGTCATGGTGGAAGTTCCACACTCATTCTTCTGTCCGTGTCCGGCCGGAGATGAAATCTTTCCCAGCTTCCGTCGAACACGAGGACAGAAATCCGTACCAGCTGATCATCACTGTCGTATGGTCTGACGGTAGGTGCAATAGATAAGTTAGTGGATAAGATTTACGTATTTTTTCTGGGGGGGGGAAGAAAGCCAACGAGAAGGCTTCATCATATGGTGAACCACGGCCTCTCGCCCGGTTACCAGTCCACGTCGAGAATGGGATTAGTTAGCCAGTTATTTTTTTCGAAAGCATGGACTTGATAGTGGAAGCCTGATATTTGTTTTTGAAGCATGGACTTGGCAGTGGAGAAAGCTGTAACCGACCTAGCGGTTACGTAAACCACTCTATGGCGGCGAGTAGTGCAGCAATTCTCTCTCACACATGACTATCTTCGAATGGGATTCGAACCTGCGAACTCTCACAGTATCGCAGCATTTTTGACTAGAATTTTTTGATTGACTATAGAATTGTTCAAGTATCAATTTGTTTGACACTGGTTTATCACTGTATCAGAAAAGTTTTATGGCAAATGCACATTTATTCAATAAGTGAGCTTGCTGTTTTCTCGTTAATAATCCCAACAGGACAGAATGTCCCAAGTTTTAGGTACGGACGGATAAAAAATAGTTTGTTAGAAAATGGATTGACATTTCATGACACGCTCAAAATAATCTTGAAATGCGCAGTTTGGAAACCGCCGGACTGATCTATATTTCTTTTACAGTAGCGCAATGCCCGTCACTTCACACAAGCCCTTGCAATCGGACACCAATATGTGGCGAGAGTAATATATTCCGGTTTTTTGCTCGACTGTTTGGAGTCTATGATACATCCACAAATAGTGATGCAGTAACCGATATTTGTCTTGATGCTTGTGATGTCATAACATCCCCTTCATCGTCCAACCAGGAAAAAGCTTCAACTATGAAATCAATATCGACAGCTGTAGAGAAAAGGTCATGGTTTGGTGATCACAGTTCGCCGTTACTTGAATCTTATGTCGCGTCAGTTTTGGCAAATTATGGAACAAAAAATATACCACAAGAGGGACTCAAAAGATGGGTCACACAACGTGTGGGTTAATGTATTGAGAACTTGCACAATGTTTTACCATGGTGCCAGATTTTGTATGAAGTTTAAGAATATGAAAAAAAATAAAAATCATAGATTGCCTTTTGCGTAGTTTGTTGCGCAATGCCAATCAATCGGGGATTCGTGTCGTGACCGTGAGGGAGGGGGGGATATGTCGTGACCGTGAGGGGAGGGGGATAATCATCGAATTCAGAGATTTACTAAAATGGAGAAAAATATTGACTGCGAACTTGTGCGGTCACAGGGTCATAGCTTGCTTGGTCCGGGGAGTTTGAGGCTTGGTGTATGTGAATCTTGGTTGAATACTACCAGTATCCCATAGGTCAGTAGTCACCAAAATGTGGGTCGCGACCCCAAGTCGCCTTGAATATTTCTGGGGCCGCCGAGTGTCCAACGTTGTCTACTTTTATTATTCTATTGTGTGTGAGATGTCCTTAGTATTACCAGAATCACCAGTAGGCAGAAATACTAGTCTTTATACAAAGTAAGATGTCAGTTTATCGCTAGAAACTTCAAACTCAAGAATAAATGGCAAGTGCGCAGACAAGTAAAAGGAACAGGCATGTTACGAGAAAACAATTATGACATCGTATTACCGAATCTAATAAACCCATCATCTCCTTGCCGTCGTGTATAGTAATAGCAGGTTCACGGAGTCCTCCTCCATCAAGTCCATGTGGTTCCTTCAATTACCGGAACGGGAAATAATTTTTACCTAAACTTACCGGAAAGGACCTATTGATATCTTTTAAAGGACATTTCATACACCTCTAGCGATTTTCAAGTTAAAACAGCGAACGTTAAAACAGCGAACTTTAGGGGGACAGTGGTAAAAATAAATTCCTGTAATTACCTGAACAGGATGGAAAATCCATCGGATCAACTGAGGAATCTTCTCCCCGGGCGGGTCCGGTCTTATTGGCTTTTTCCTCTTTCCCGGGATAAACATCGATTTATCTTTCTATGTATGTTAGGGCGTTTACCATGGGTGAGTCGGCACTTGTATATCTACGTCTTGAGGTTTTGCTAATTTTCAGGATTTCTCAATATTCTCTTTGGTAATTGTTTTGTTCATACATTGTGTATCGTTTTTTCGGTAAAATCAAAATAAACTCGCTAATCAATAATAAGAGTGCTCCAACAATTAAGTAACTAAAACTGGCTAATGTGTATTTAAATATCTGAACCTTGGGTGTCGCTGCTTGATAACCAGCTTTGGTTCCCCGCTGCTTCCCTTCCCCAGTGAAATGTGTATTCAATATTATTCGTCTTTATATTGCATGTGAATTTTTTTTTACTGGATGGAAAAAAAATTTTTTACTATGACATACGAAAACCCTTTTGTGAACAGCTGATTTAACAGTTCACTGCACAAACACGTGACATGCCGGCTACGTGCCAACTCGCTCGTTTGTAAACAAACCGAAGATCCGTTTCGAAAAAGCAATAATGCACTGTATATTCTATTTTGGCACTGGAATGTCTTTGTTCTATGCAGTAAAGTAGGCATGCAGAGATTGCTAGGAGAGAAGTTCATTTCTGCACTATCAGACTATCTTATACAGTTACCGTATAGAACTGCAGATACCAGGATACAGAGATACGGTAGGCTAGGATGTAAATAGGATGGGGTCTCGTGTAGTTTCGTACCTAACGTCAGAACGTACTTCTGGTAGGCGTAGCATAACAATCTTTTGACATGCCAATCCTAACCCTCACTTGACTACGCCATCCAAAAAGCCAATATAGCAGCTTAATCATAAGGCAGTAAGGTGAACCACGGTACGTGATAAGGCGAATCACCTTTACGTGGACCCCCCTACAGCCTTTCGGCTGCAAAGAATCCAGCAATTCTCTTGTACATACAGACATAACAATTCCTGCATAGGATTCAAACCTACGAACTTACAAACGGTATTCAGAGGTGTGATAGCGAGGGTATTCCTAACGCTTAGCACACTGCGCTGAGCTTTGCCTCTCTATTGCATTACCGTAATGCAGTAATATAATATACCAGTACTGCAGTACGCAGTACGGTACGGTACCGGTACTAATGATCGGCAGATTTTATGTCATGAGCAACTTTTTACATCAAATCTCTGAATCCTGGAGTCTGTTTCGTTCAGGATTTATTCAGGTCGCAGTGCCATATCCTGGTACAGTATTGTAAAAAGATATCAATTAACGATTCATATTCCACCCCCGTTCTTAATGCAGTACCGGTAATGTCCGGATGTGCAAAAGTCAGAGGGCATATCACTAGATCAGAGTTTCCCAAACTTTTTCGGCCACGAAACCCTTACACTCTATACCTACTTGTTTAAAAGGATTGCTGCAAACTTGATAATGAACTTGACGGCGACGGTGAAGCGATATTGAACGGTCAGTTGGGTGACAACTTCACGATCCCTAGATCGCCATGGTGACCCATTTAGACGTATTTTTGATTTATTTTCCTCAGAAGACGGCCGTGGAAAATAGTTTGGGAAACGCTGCACTAGATAATGATCCATGAAATATTGAAAACAAACTGGAACAAAGTAAAGGGTCATTAAGGGCTTGAGGTTCTACTGGAACTCCGATTAAAATACTGATGTCTTCACAGATTAGAATAATCTTTGGAATAAAACTTCAAAATGCGGACAATCATATTTATTATTTCTGTTCTATTCTTGCATGGAAAATGTGAACAAGATCAAACAATTCAGGATGAAAAAAGGTTTGAAGTTTTGTTTTATATGAGTTTCATGTCGACTTTTGGTGATAATTAGAAAAAGAAAAACAAGCATAAATAAGGTATAACACAGTATTTTCGTACTTCTGGAAGATAAATATGTGTTGGCCAATTATATTTGGGTCTGGTATAGTATAGTACTTCTAGTGCATAGGTTCTCAAAGTGCTCCGTACAGAGCCCCAGGGCTCCGCGAGAGAAACCCAGGGGCTTCGCGAGCTATTCAATTACTCTTCAAATTACTGACTAATTTTGTAACTGTTCAAAAAAGCAATAACAGCTTTGATGAAATCTGACAACAATATAGCCTCGAAATATGGCAAAGAGGCGAAATTAAAAATTATTTATTAAAAGCAGGAGCGCGGCCAGGATTCTTAAGAGGGAGGTGGTTCAAAATTGAAATCGGAAATTTCCACGCAACATTCTTCGCGATTAAAAAAAGGGATAACAAGATTTCTGTTGCGTGAAATATTCAATCCATGACCGATGCGAGCATTCAAGGTGTCTCGTCGTGATAATGTAATTGTGCTCATCGTTACTCACATTTGATTCGAGATTCCTATTAGGATTACTAAAATGGAAAAATACTATTCTAAAATAAGATAAAATATGTGATAAACTGCCAACTATAAATAAATTGGAATCGTATTCTTGCGATCTTGGGATTTGTCAAACTGGATTTGTTCTGTCGCACTTAAGATTATTTTTGGGGCAAGATATCGCCGTTTAGAAAATCAAAAGGTCCGGGCAAAATACGAACAATTGAAATTTATTTCATTGCATTCGGCTCCGTCGGTGGTTTCAGAATGAAAAAAGGTACATCGCGGATCGCGCGCACAATTGATTGCGTGCGGCTCCAGTTTCAGAATGGGAAAAAAGGTACATCGCGCGCACAATTGACTGTGTTTCGATTCCATAGTTACCACGAAGAAAACCTAACATAACACCAAATTTTGTGATTTACAATGTCTATCAAAAGCGTTTCCGATCTGAGGTGAGTCTGCTGAAACCAAACCTGTGATCTTCCATTTTAAGTTTTAGTTTTAATATTTTAGAATACCGCTTCTCAATCAAAAAATTTGAGTTGCGGATTTACCTCTTTATTAATTATTATTTTTATCATTTCGTCGCCGATGACTATAATATGGTAACATGTTTTTCACATTGAACCCATAATTCCCCACGACAACTAAAAAGCAATTAACGTCGTCATTGTGTAACAATACATGTATATGTCGTGGGAAATTTTCGATTTAGGGAGAATGAACTCCGGTGTAAAGAGGTTTAAAGGTTCACAAACACGCCATGCTGACAAAAAATTCGGCGATTGTAACAAAATGCAATGACAAACGTTATTAGCGTCCTCTCAAGTCTTCTAGAAATGTCAACAGGGAAAAGATTCAACCCCTAATTTATTAATGTTTGTCAAGTGTCAGATTTACTGCTTTAGTATATATAATTTATGTTTAAAATTTAGATTTATTTATGACTTGTATTAACCCTATTAAAAAGCTTCAGCATTTAAGTTAGGTTAAGTACTTTTAACTTGCTCAGGAATATTAATCTGAAATTAACAATTTCAACATTCATTTTGGGGCTCTGTGAATAACAGTCAACCTTTTCAAGGGCTCCGCAACACCAAAAGTTTGAGAACCCCTGTTCTAGTGGAAGTGACCATTTGCATATGTCATTTCTAACCCAAATCTCACTTTGTCATACAAAAAGTATGTTTCTTCAACATCATAGTGACATAATAAAGCCTGTCAAAATTTATGGACTGTCATGCGATACGTGAGGACAATCACCTGAAATCGAGACAGTATGACTTTGTACACAATGCAGCTTGCTCGATTTCAGGTGATCATTTGCTTGTTTTAGACAACTGCCCACATATTATGTCACTGTGACGTAATTTTTGGATGGCGTAGTCAGATTTGGGTTGGGAATGACATATGCTATCCAACTAGTACTTTTACTATACCTGACCCTTATATTTGTGCTTGGAAATAATAAGGTGATAAGGCAGCTTAACTATTTAGTGAGTTTCAGGCTCTAGTCTGGTTGCCAATTCATTCGGGTATCAAGACTTTGGTGGTAAAGAAAGCTATAAACAATTTTCTAAATTGAATGACTGAATGAAGGCTTTTTTCATTGTATGTAAAACTTCAAATTGCCTAAATTTATAATTTTAAAGTAAAACTATTTTGTATCTAGATTTGAATAAAGATTTAATAAAATATTGAATATAAATAATTTGAATGATTCAAATTTGCTTTGCATCACCATGGAACTATAGTTTTTTGGCATTTCAGTGGCCATCCTCAACTTTGCTCTGAACTAAGTTTTCTTTATTTTTGAGTGAATGTTTGTAATGCGCCGCAATAATCATATATAGTTTCAGTAGCAGTCCTTTGGACTTTGCTGAATTTGATGTTACTTAGTGTGTCTCAGCTCTCCCGTATACACCATCATAATTCTGTATGTAACTTCTTGGTTGCCCTGGGAGATGAGGATCTTTCTTGTGAGTGGAAGCCTGTAATGCATCATCATCATATAAAGTTTTAGTAGTTCCCTGTAATGTTGCTCTGAGATGAGTCATATTTACTTTGAGTGAGTGTGTGTGACGCTTCTGTAAACGAATTATTTTTTAAAATAAACAAATAAAGTCATTTTTTACAGGCCATTTGAAATTCCTCTCCTGGAATTTGAATCAGTTGTAAAGTCGGGAAATGCTCTTGTTATTGATGTCCGAGAACCTGATGAAGTTTACGAAGTTCGAGTGGATGCGAAGAATTACGTTAACGTCCCCCTCAAACAAGTCGGTGAGTACATCAGTGCAGATATAGAGGTGGTTTCCTGTAGGTCCTCAGAGGTTCTTGCACAGATTGCCTTGGAGAGATTCTTAAAGTAGACTTCAGGTTATTCAAAGCCACAAATGAGTTCTTTGAAACCAAAAGGTAAGACTTAAGATTTCGTAAGTAGAGGTTCTATTGTACTGTAAAGCAGGCATGTCCAATCTTTATTACATGATTACCAAATATAGGCTTTGCGACGCAATAAGAATTGGAATTGCTCGCACATACCGGAATAATAACTAAACTAAAAACGCTTTTCGCGAACCCACCATTCAAAATCTGCACTTCTCCGGAGCCGCATAATTTTTTCTCGCGGGTCGCAGTTTGCACACCTCTGCTGCAAAGGACTCCTTGTCAAAAAAAAAGTTATTTTGCTCTATTCCAGGGTCTTCTCTGTGCAAAAGAATTCGAGAAATCTTACAGTTTTAAAAAATCATCACTTGTTGAAGATGAATTTATTGATTTACATACAAAGCCTTTAAAATGAGAAACAATAAAACATTTATAATGAATACAATATGTAAAATATTCAATAATATTTTAGTTTTGTTCAAAACAATTCTGTTAATTTTTATGGCGCACTTAGCAACTCTTCAGGAGCAGTGCCTTAAGCGAATCCTTGTCGAATGAAAAATTATTTCGTTGCATTCCAGGATCTTCTCTACAACTATCTGCGGGTGAATTCGAGAAAACTTACGGTGTTAAAAAACCGTCACTAGATGATGATGTTGTGTTTATTTGTCGATCGGGGAAGAGAAGTTTAACTGCTTTGAAAGAAGCGAGAGGATTGGCATTCGAGAGGTATTTCTTATCCAAAATAAGATTTTCGGTTTAAATGTCCACCACTTCACCAAGAGTGGGATTTACATTGCTGAAAGACTGTATCTAGACTATAGTTTTCAACCATTTTGGTGTTACGAAACCCCAATAAAATTTATACAGGCCTGAGGAACTTCTGTGCGATAGTTTAATTGTTTGAAATGTATTAACTATAAATATGCACCAAAGCAAACCGAATACTGCTGAAAAAATGATCTTAAGAGTGTTGCAAGTTCAATAATAACATCAAATCAAATAAGTGAGCAAAATATTAGTTTATATGAATACAGCATAGACTCTCATACTTGAATGGAAACTTTTGTAATCCTGGTTGTACTGGTGGAACATACTGGATTGTACTTGCTGAACCGCGGGTACAAAGCCTGGTAATTGGGTGATGGGCCATCGTTCACCGAATGATTAGGACATCTTACGGGTTTTCTCTCCTCGAGCAATAACGAGGAAAATTCTTTGAATATTTTTATCTTTGTTAGATCTCAACATTTTGTCGGTGGGCATTTGGGTTGGATCGCAAACCATCCAGACCTTGTTGTTCGAGAAAAAGAAGAAAATGAAAAAACAAGCAGAAAAGATGAATTCTAAGTTTTGTGCAATTCGATGCTTTAGATTAGACAAACTGATTAATTGGGAAAGTTGAATAATTTTATTTAGTGATTCTGTAGACAGTTTAATCGAACTACGGCATACTGAAGCGTTTTGTGCATCCCCTTCTCCTTGAGAAAGTATTGAAAATTTATATATTTTTTATCTAAAATAACTGTTTTGTTTTATTATATCCTAATTGAATTTAGACCCTGACTGTGAAAGATGGTAAAAATACGGCTTCAGCTGTATTCAACTCCCCAGACCTTGTTCCAAATGATATTTTCAAATATGGGTGCAGGCATGCATGATATTTGAGACATCTGTGTACATGTTTGCTGAATACATTTATCAGTGTTTGTCATTTCATCAGGTCTGATCCACTGAGTCTACAGTTTTCTGCCACTACCCCCTCTGTTTTATTGCAATCACGTACATTTTCTGATTTTACCGTTGATTTACTAGTTTTCTTTGAAATATCAGTGACAATTTGCACTTTCAACCAATTGATAGCTGTTGCTGATTCTTAGTTCTGTTCCAATATTTAGCAATATGATTTAATTAAACGCCATTTAATTCTTGTCTGTGTATATCTATGTTGAGGTTTGATGATGTCACTGGTTTTTCTATTATTTGCAGCAGTTCTTATTTTTGACCCCAAGCAAGCTTGTGACCTCTTGGTATTTACTGAAGGCTATTTGAATTGTTTAAAATGAAAATGCCTCCCTAAAGACTAGGGACAGGTTGGAATTTTTTTCTAATATTTTCGAAGAAATAATTTTGATTTGGGATGAATTTTAAAAGCGCGGCGGCGGTGTGGCTCATCGTGCTAAGCGTTAGGAATACACTCGCCGCCGCATCTCTGATTACTCTGCGTGGGTTTGCAGGTTCGCATCCCAAGAAGGATAGTTATGTGTGAGAGGATTGCTGGACGCCTCGCCGGCGTAGGGTGGTCCACGTAACCGCTGGTCGATTACGGCTTCCTCCACCATCAAGTCCATGCTTCCGAAAACAAATAACTAACTAATCCCATACCCGACATGGACTGGTAATCGGACGAGAGGCCGTGGTTCGCCATATGGTTAAGCCGTCTTATCGGCTCTCCTCCGGGAAAAATATTTAAATCCTATCATATAAATACTGTTTGTCTAAATCAGTGCACTTCAACAGGGATTCCGCACAATGTTCCCTCTAATTTTTTGTAGTATGGGAAATGACTAATATTTGTGCAAAAACCAATTGGGTTCCTCAGGGTTCCCGCGTTTTTTTTTTTTTTTTTCAAGGGAAATCATTTCTTGTTTCAGCATGTTGATGCGTCATTATAATTATTCTTAGACCCCCGTGTCTCATTCAAACTCCATGTAGGCCGCCAGTTCGTTGAACAGGAAGTTTAGTCACAGTGCAGTTGGTAGACAAAACAGAAATACTTTCGGTTGTTGCGTCACTTTAGTCATTTTTATGCAACCAACGGGAACGCTATTGTTGCACCATAGTCACACGATGTTCAAAGCATGTAGATACTAGATATTGATCGAGAGTAAGTAATATAAAACTAGAGCTGTTGTTCAGCTTGTCGTGTTACGAGTATTTCGTGTTGTTTAATAATTTTGTTAATTGGGGTTCCATAAAGAGCGAGAAATTATATCAGGGGTTCCACAATAACAAAAAGGTTGAAGCGCACTGGTCTAAATAACAGTTTCACTTTCTGCGTTCCTTACGATGTAGCAGGTTGCTTGAGCTGGATACATGAACCGCAGTGGAATCACTCTGACCCGACTAACCATCAGAGAAATTTGACTTGAAAGTTGGAAAATAGTTTAAAAGTTGCTGAACGTGACTGGAATCGTAATTTGGGGTTTGCACCCAACATTGGTAACCTTGAATTGAAAAATTGAATTTTCCTGAGTTTCTGTGTTGCTGATAAAGACTCACTGCTTCATTGCACGTATCTTGCCATAAGTTCCTATAACAGTTCTTCTTGGTTTCATGATTTTACCTTTATTTTTAAGCTGCTTATGAGGTGTGATGCCACCTTCTGTGTGAGAGTATACCCATGAGCGCGAAATTTCCGGAGAGAGGATTCAGCATAAGTGAATGTGTCACGGATTTTATTATCCGTGTGTTTTAATTTAGTTTTTCTTCTTATATTTGCCTATGTGCTTTTCGAGGCCCCCTAAGTTGGATATACTTCATCCGGGTCCGGTTACTGTGAGACTCCGACCCCCATCGAGTCGTGAGGAAAAAGGTTCCCCGCCTCTTCTCCAATCGCCGCGCTGGCGGCCGGACGTGTTTTCCTGTGTTCTCTGTTTTATGCTGTTTTGAGTGTTTTTAACTGTGAACTGCCTCATAATAAACCACAAATCCAGAATCTGAGTCTTCTGATTTAATACACACGGTAGCAACATCTCTTTCTACTGTGACAGATGATCACTTCTTCATTTCACATATTTTGAACCTTTCCGGAAGTTTTAAAGCTTTCTGGTACGCTTTTTGTTGCATTTTTAGCTGTTTATACAGCGTTACGTCATCTTAGTAATGACGTCATGTACATTTTCTTGTCAAGTTCCAGACTCTCCTTAGATCCAACCCATGAGCATGAATTGTGACAGCTTCATTAAAATTCAAACAGGTGTTCGACTCGTCAAATCTGAAATGAAATTAACAAGTTGATATTAATGCAAGAGCATCTGAAATCCCAGGCTGAGAAAAGGAAGAAAAAGATTTTGGTTTGAAGATTAGCGCATCGTGCTAAACGTCAGAAATACACTCGCCATCGCTACCTGATTACACGCATGGGTTAGTATGTTCGAATCTTAGAGAAGATAATTATGCGTGGGATGATTGCTGGACTCCTCGTTGTCATGGGGTGGTTTACCTAACTTTATTAGAGATAGACTGGCAACCTGGGGTTCGTCATATGAGTAAGTAGTGTTATCAGTTTTCTTCTCCTCAGGAATAAATTTAAAAATCCTATAAACTTCCAAACCCAGTTGGAGGTCCAACATGAAAAAAGAGGACTTGTTAATTTGAATATTTTAGGTGCCCTACCCAAAAAGTAAAATATATACCGTACCCACCAAGTTCGATCGGTACTCAAAATTTTGATAATATACCCGCCAAGTTCGACCGGCACCCAAAATTTGAAAAGTATACCCGCCAAGTTTGACGGGTACCGAACATTTGAAAAAGATACCCGCCAAGTTCAGCGATATCAAAAATTTAAAATATATACCCGCCAAGATCTGAAGGCACCCAAAATTTGAGAAATATACCCGCCAAGTTCTGACGGCACCCAAAATTTGAAAAGTATACCCGCCAAGTTCTGACGGCACCAAACATTTGAAAAATATATCCGCCAAGTTTGACCGGTACCAAAAATGTGAAAAAATACCCGCTAAATTTTTCCGTAAGCCTAATTAATAACAGGGCGTATAAACCCAAGTTATCTATTATTACGATGGAACAAAACTATTCGATTATAGTGTTGAATCAATGACATTAAACAACATGATGCGCAACTCCGGCATTTTTGGCCGAAGATCGTATTCGATAGCACGCTCCAATGCACATACTTGACGAGACGAAAACGAGCGAATGTGTGCTGCTTTCAAGGCATAGCACGAATGGTGTTCGTGCCTGCTTTGACAGTTGTTGTCGATTTTAATGATATATTGGAAAATTGAAGGTAAAAAGAAATCGGAAAAAAGTAAGGTAAATACTATTGTTGTATATCACACTCGGGCATCGCACTGTTAAGTACATGTGGGAAAGCCAGCTTTTGTCAAATACTACGAAGTTATTAAATCAGTACGGTACGTAGTTGCCCATTTGCCGAAATTGCTTACTTACTTACCCCTTATGGTTTCAAATAGTTCATACACCTCTATTTCGATTTTTTTTAATCAGTGAGGATATATACTCATTGCTGTAACATACTATTGCTCATTCACTTTTATTTGCTTATTGAATCAAAGGGTTAACAAGTTCACATAACATTTCACTCATACCGGTCTATATTGTATAGTCTGATCTCTCAAGTATTTGGAGCCACCGATGCTTGTAATTTTCTGACTAAACCCCTTTATTAGTTGGTTTATATACCAAATTCAGTAAAACATTTTTTACATAAAACATGAGATATTGGATTTATTAGCTTTTCCAATCTAAATTATATAGACTGCTTTATTTATTCTGAACGAAAATTATTGAATCTCCTCTCTTTCTTCAGATGTGAAAGTTTTGGAAAAACCTGTCTAAGCATTGTGGGACTCCTACAGCACAAGAGGCAATAGCAAAAATAGTAAGTATATCAATCAAGAAATTAAGCCGACATAAAGCAAAACTTTTAACTATTCGTCCAACCTCAATTTCCTAATATTTATTCACAGGACAACTGTAGCAGAAAGGGATATTTCAGAAGTCTGGCGACATATCAGTGACAGTGTGATTCCAAGAAATACAATCAGAATACTCCATAAATGTTTGCGATAGAAGAACAACCTATGGAGGCATGCAAAGACATATGAACCTCCGGTAGAGTTGTGTATGGCCCCTACATCCCGCAGGGCTTGAGGAAAATAACTAAAAATTCCGAAGCGTAAGATTGCATAAGCGGTCTTCTTTGTAAAAAGGCACAAAACATGCCAGACATACTTAAAACAGCCTTGGAAAATGAGGATTACGGGTACCTCACTGCACCTGTGTTATATTTGGTTCATCAACTTTTGGTAGTACTAAAGAAGAAATTCAGGAAAGGGTATAATCATGATTCATGATAAAATACTGTTATATATTTTGGACAACTTCAATCTAGACCAGGGATATCAAACTCGCGGCCTCAGAGAACTTCCAGTGAGGCCCTCGAACGCTTAACAATAATTGTAATAGTATTTTGGAGTTTTTTTTTTTTATCCAAGTGTAATAGATTTTTCAACCTTTTTAAAGTGAAATTGAATATTCACACAGCAAGCAATTTACTGAAAGTAGTTTTGGAAAATTAATTTTTTTTTGTTCACATTTTGACCCAATTAAGAATACACATCAAGCTAGCAAAAGAATACTTGAATAAAACACTTGAGTGAATAAATTAAACGCAAAGTACATGAAGAAGGTGGCATTTTCGAAGAAAATGGGAGTTGCAATATTTCTGCATTTCACAAAATTTTGAAGCACATTGTTTAACTTGTCATATTTCCATCAGTACAATGAAAAACACAATAAGCTCAGCAGTCAATATGACAATTTCGAAGACCAACTTCGAACAGAAAATTTCCATGTGTTTGTATATTAATATAAATATACAACGACTTAGTTACTAAAAATCAATATCAATAATAATTCAAGCAATCCTATGCTATGCAAAGTGGCGCGAAATGTCTTGTCGATAATATCTGTCATTTGTTTTTCTACTGATCTATTCATGAAATGATAAAAGTAACTTTTTTGCATTACTGGAATTAATTAAACATTCGCAAAGTTCCAGATTAACCCATGATCATGTGACCTCGTTAGTTAGAGTTGGTACCATAAAATCATTTCAGCCTGGCCTTAGTATGCTGGTGACACAAAGAGATGCCAAACGTCAGGACAAATGTAATTAAAAAAACATTGAGTTTATACTGTAGTATTTTTGTTAATTTTAAGTCCATATATTTAGATTAAGTCATTTTTAGTGTATGTATTATTCTTTCCTTATCCAAAGCTTGTTCAAAAATGATTTTGATGGTTGTATAAAGAATTTTATGATTTTTTGTAATAAATACAGTAACTTGCAATAATAGTGGAATGCAAATATTAATATGTAATTGCATTTGAAATTAAAGAAAATAATAAAACTTAATCAACTGTTTAGTTGCATCACAATATATGTCACAAACTAAAACTATCTGAAAAACATATCTTTCAAGTATACATTATCAAAAAGTGTTTTCGGCCCTTTTTACAATTTCCAAAATGCAATGCGGCTCTCGAAAACCCATGCGTTTGACACCACTGATCTATTCTAGACAATTCAAGCATTGCTTTGGGAAATAATATCACTTCAATTAAATTGAAAAAAATCTCGCTACATAAATACAAAATCGTTGCTATCATAAAGGTAAACCAATTCAGCCACTCGGAATATATTGGCCTTCACAAAGCAATGGAGGCAAAATTGAGAGTTCGTGAGCTATGAACTTTTGTTCTTTTCTTTGTCTTGAACTTTTCATACTCCACAGCCCCTATTAATTTTTTTTTAATTTTAATTACCATGTGATGGTCATACATATCTTTAACTTGTATTTTCTGTCATGATGTATTATCTCAATGTGTCAAACCGTAGTAGTATATATTTACGGTCAAACTTTTAATTAGTGTGCATATTTTGCTTCCAGAAGACATAAATGTACAGTATTGTCTTGTTTATTACCTCAGCTTGGAGTATTGACAAGAAAAAGGTGCCCGTAAAACTCTTTGTTATAATCAGAATTCACAATTAATAGGAATCATAAACAGACAACATTCAATGGGAATTATATGCCAAATCCCTCAGAATAAATTTGTCTTCTAAAATCGGAGGAAGGCAAAACATATAGGTAGTTTCCATTCATACAAGTCTTTCAAGAAGACTTACTCGAGCCAAACTAAATGAGCATCGTCAGATGATCGGTAAGGCTGCAAGTTGAATCAGCCCTGCAACCTCCCGCATAGAAGATATTAATTAGTGGGCTATGAACTAAATTCCTACATTTAGACACAAACCTATCTACGAGGCATTATGTACCAGCAATGTTACCTAAGGTTAACTAAATATGTAATTATGTCTAATAAATTAACCTACTAAAGCAAGTTCGATAGGTGCAAACTAGTGTTATGGAATTGTATCACAGCACCGTTAAGAGAAGTAAAAACAGTTTTGCTGTTTTGTATGACACTCTCTTTAAATGAAATTTCAATGTTTAAGCGCAAACATTAAAATTACTAACTTTGAACTTTGTCATTATCTGCAAAATGTTCCACAAAATCTTTACGCTATCGCGTTTGTAATCTTCTCTGATAAAAAAAAAACGTCTATGATGTCCAGAATTACTCTTTACAGCTTGTCTGCCATTCCAGCTTTCCAAGTGAGCAAAACTTCTTAGATATAGAGATTATTTTCTTTCGTTACAGGCGCAAAAAGGCAGGCACTACACGTAAAGAAGACGCCGGGTAGCAAAAGCGAGCGGAAAACGGTCGCGAAAGGCTACGAGAAATATGTGCATTGGAGCGTATCATGAAATACAATCTTTCGCATGTAGTCTTATGGAGTGACGTCAGAGTTGCCTATCATGTTGTTTAATGTCATTGGTTGAATGGACCTTTTCCCGACCTTTGACCCCCGAAAAATTCTTCGTATTTTTTACTATTGCAAAATTTTCGGTGCTTATTTTAAGAGTGGTTTCGCGAGTTGGCGCCTGTAAAATGTGGTATTTGTTTCAACCCATCATTATGATTCATCGCATACAGCTACCTGTTTTTTAAAAGTAACGGTAAATATTTTTAGCCCAGTCCATCACAGCTATTTCTACACTAACTTTTAATTACTGAAATTAAATTAAAACCTAAGAAGACAAAAGTGATTATTGAATTATCTGATTCATATTTTAATTTCCGAAACTGAAAACTAACGAATGGAGTTCAAAAACGCCAAAACGAGGTAATGTTTACGACTACGCCTAAAAAACTGTCTGAGTGAGCAAATTGTCTGAGCGGATGCGAAAAGGGGACATTGTTACGCCACTCTTGCATCTTGCTGATTGGCCAATGTCACGAAGTAAACAAGGAAGTCGATGCTCGGGGAAAGATCCATTTTACTAATAGCTCGGTATCGCTGAGTTACCAGCGAGCAAAACTTCATGAAATCTGGCCAATGCTCTAATTGAACCTCACGCTGAAACGTTTAAGCCACAAAAGCCTAACATCAGAGCCCATCTTTAGTGTCGCCGCAATTTCATTATTATTTCAATTCAAAACCTTATGTGTACCGGAACGTGGACCGGATTCAGGTATTTTTTTATCGCGGAAGAATCAATGTTAATCAATAAGCACAAATAAGAAAATTAGCGAAAAAGGAGAATTTTGACTCATAGTAGTCTAATGAGTCATCCAGTCAGTGACATCTTGGGTAGGATTATCGCGGAAGAAAAGAAAAGCGATAAGACAGCTTAATGAATCTTATTGCGCACCACGGCCTCTTGTCCCGTTACCAGTCTATGTCGGGCAATCCTTTCGCACATGATTATTCCCCACAGGAGTCGAACCTGCAAACCCACGCATAGTAATCAGAGGTTAGATGACGAGCGTATTACCACCGCTTAGCAAGATGCGCCACACGCCAAGCACCTTGATGATGAAATTGTCCTCCACTTACCTTCCAACGAGAAAACCAGGTACATTAGCCGGAGAAACCCCCATCCGTTGTAGCAAAACCCCGGTCATGACGTCATCAAGAGGAATCAAATTCTGTTCTGCTAGTGATGCATCGTAAATTCTCCTCGCGATGTCACCTGGAATGAAAGACCAGGATCAGATGCTTCGCTGTGAACAAGACTCAATCCATTTCAACAGCTTTCGAATACAACTCCGGCGACAATGAAAACTCTGACTCCGACCACTATATTTTCAAGTGGTTAGGATTACGACTTCTGACTGAGAAATTTTAAAAATTGGCAATTTCAATACCGTTTCAATACATAGAGTACATATTATATATCTGACATAATATACCCAGTACCACTTCAGTACATGGAGCACGAATTACCACAGCACATCACATACCTGACATAATATACCCAGTACCGCTACAATACATAGGATACATATCTCCGTAAAACATTTCTTCTGAAACAAAAAATCGACTCTTAGTGTTTCGGTTAGGGGCATCTGACCAGCATCTGCCAATCTAAAAACAGACAATGAATATAAAACGCGTATGTTGGAGATTACTGTCAAATTAAAATTTATTAAACTAGATATTCTAGAATCTAGATAGACAAGAGGGCCATATGCGAATAACTGGGTGAAACCGCAGTCCGCACCTTCATTCAACACAGCCTTCCTAGGAGTTGCAGCCATAAACATTTTGTTCATTGATCTCATGACATGCGTTGTTCGCTTTGCACAAGCTCAGATATAGGCATTGCAACGTAAATTAATTGGAATTACTCGCAAGTACCAGATTAAATTGATAACTTGTTTCGTGGTCTCGAGTTAAAATCCCGCCAAATCACCCAGGATTCCGTTTTTCGAGAAACATGACGCTGCTTATACATGACCTTGTTCGGAGCCAAATGCGCCAATTAGTGCCGCATAAAAACAGCGAATGCAGGAAGTAACTGAAATTATGTACACAGATATCTAATGATATGTGAGAGGCTGCTAATTGATGGGAGGATCGGATACTAGTAAAATATATAATCTTGGTGCTCACCAGATATTTTTTCACTTCGTGCTTGAGATAAGTATTCATTGTTACGTCAATGTTAACGATGATGTCATCTTCCGTCTTCATGACGTATCTGTTTGTGAAAGTTATAAAACCGACATAAATATAACCCAACTTTTGCTATGTCATATATGCAATTCAATCACTAGGGCCATTGTTTCCGCGAGTGCGCCAATAAATATTGATCCATTAAAATTATTGTATCTCAAAAATTATTATTGAGGCTGACGGTATCGGATATTATTAGTTTGACCGTCGGTCGCCATTGAGGGGTGATACGTACCCACTGGTCGGTCATGAATTTCTCTACCATCATGTTCATGCAGCTGAAGCCATTATCTGGCTAACTTATTCCGTACCCGACATGGGCTGGTAAATGAACAATAAGGTCATCCTAGTGTTAATAAACCCGGAACAGTAAAGCAGCCGCTGGAAAGCAGTCTCTGAAGCTCGAGTCATGGTTTAATACGAAGTCGAGTCAATTAGTGTGTCACTGTCGGTAGATTGATGACCAGTCATTTTACTTAGATGACTTGGGTCACTTCGAGTCTGGGATAAATGGGTTTTCCCGAAGAATGGAACCAAGATGGCGGACACCGGAATATAGTATGTGTATCAGGTTAGAGTTAGGTCATAATTTCATGTACAATTACTACGGGAGTCACTTGGCTAGTCCCCAAACTCGAAAAAAAATAAAATGAGGGAAATTTGAATAAATTATGGCCCATCCCTAACCTGGTACACATACTACGTTCCGGTGTCTGCCATCTTGGTTCACATACTTCGGGAGCACCGATACATGACGATCCAAGTCAATGGCTTGATCGCAATATCGGCATTTGTTCCTTTCTAGATAAATATGAATCATTTTCTTACTTTATTTTTGAGCAATGAGTTCGAACCCATCCCAATCCCATCAGAAGTTTCCGACTCGAGTTTCTGAAATTGTCGGGGATATTTTGCTTTATGATGTCACGATTCTTTTTGAATTCTTCTATGACGTCATACGGAGTACCCTAATTTTAAAAAAAATTTAAACTTAATGAACTTTAATTTTGTACACAACTTTTTATTTTTCTTTGCCTTTGTCTTTGCCCCGTACAAGGTAGTTATGGAATACAGTTTAGAAGGAATCTTTTCGGTCAGGCATTGTCTGGCAAGTTTATTACATGAGCATGATCTTTAATCAAGTGACAAGAAACACCACTCCGAGCCCCTACCTGTGTTTCTTCATCTTGCCCGACCATGAAAATGCATTGTATGTTTCTATTGTTAGAAAACAATTTCCGTTTGCACCAAGTTTTTCTGATGACTTCACGGGCTTCAATATTGCTTTCTTTTGACGCAATCAGGATCAGAAGATATGGCGTCACACTCTGAAAAAATTGTACGTGAATATGGAGGTGATCGATTTTCTCATGTGCAGAGATGGCCTAGTCTAGTGCTTAGGGCGCTTTTTGCAACGCCTTCAATATAAATTCTGCACGTTTTAAAGATGTTGTTTATATTTATATATCTGATTTCATCAATTATTGTATCGGCCTTGATTATGCAGTCGATATCAACTTATCTTATGTGAAATAAACTCCGTAAGCAAGTTAATGTTCATACCGTGCATTTGTTCACAGGATTGAGCATCCATTTGTTTCCCTGACGACCGCCCGTGACGTCATTTGTTATTGACGTAATGATTTTCGGATTCAAAGGAAATATCTGATCTTTAGCTTGACTTTGTGACTTATCTTTGATCGAGATCTAGGAAAGAATTTGAATTACAAGATAACAATTACTTGAGACATTTCCTAAAACAGGAATGACCAATCACTGACTCCCGCGAGTCACAAACCCTCTATGGTTTTTTTTTTTTCAGTGATCCGCAAAGTCACGGAATATTGGAAAAAAATACACTAATAATTCAATAATAAAGATTGATGATAAAACAAGCATTATTTTAATGTAACAATTAGTGAACTACTATTGTATACCGTTGTGAGGCTACTCCCAACAATCTCATAACTACACATAATACCAAGGATTACAAGATACGCTGAAAAGTAAGTTTCTCATTGAGGCAGACATTAGTAAGTATCTATGACCCGCAGTATTTTGCGCTCGCGATAAAAATATAAACTTTAACCTAATAATTAACAAAGTGCCATCTATGACCCAGAGAAAACACAACTTTTTTGCCAAGCGTTCAGGTTCTTTTAAACTTTTGTGTACAATTATACACGAATAGTGTATTCAAGTGTTAAATAAAACTTCTTCGCAGAAATAATTTATGGATTGCCGACTACGTCATGAAAAGCGTGACGTCAAAATTTGAAAATTATAAAATTTCCCCAAAACTTACTTGTTTCTGAAAACCTTGAAAATTATCGTTCTCAATCAAAACGCTGAACCCGTCACTGATTTCATTATGATGACCAGTGAAGCGTACCAAAACGTGTAAAGGTCGTCTGTTAAACAGTCTTGATGTGACGTAAACAATCACGGTTGCCACGACAACGATCAAGGTCATAAAGCTTCTTCTTCCACGCCTCAGTGACGTATACCTCACGTGATTCATTTGTCGATTGTGACGCAATAGACTCAATGATTTAGTTTTGTTGAACATTTCACGAATCCCGTACGAGCCTATATTTTTGCTTTGTCGTTTGATTTCCATTAAATACCAAAAATCTAATACACAAAGCATGAACTTGGTTTTAGAAGCACTTCTATTATTGTTTTGTTCGAGGTCACAAAATGTTGCTTTGTATTCACTGTAGTACCACTAATATTCTTTAGTTCTTTATTATTGCTATAATATATACTATTTGTGCACAAACTACTTAAACAAATACGGGGTTGGGGCACAATATAAATAAAGAATTTTTATGCTCGTTGAAAGCAAGTTTACTAAAAGCATGATCTCAATACTTCAACTGAAATCTGAAAGTGTACTGATGAAAGGTTGCGTGTATGCTCAAATCATAATTTTAGATTAGACCAGATTTAACCAGTGGTCCTCAAACTTCTTTGGTGAATTTTACCCTTTGCTTATGTTGTTCATTCTTTACTTTTTTCGCTTAATAACTCTGTTTCCATTCGCTACTTAATCTTCGATGGGTCATTATCTAGCACTCTGGCTTCCGTTTGCACAGTTTGCTAAACGAAAATACAAAGCAAAATTCTACCCTTAAAAATAAAAGTATTTCCCGATTGGGAAACGCTGTACCAATGTATTTCCAAACTCATTATTTATTGCGTTTTTTACTCTATATACCGATTCTATTGAATTGCGCTGTCACAGCAATAAGCAAGTCTTGTCTGTAATTACAATTCATCTAATTTCCACCTGCTTTATATCACTGATTAAGCGGTTATCGGTTGGCTGGATAAATTCATGTGGTCCTCTCGACTCTCAACACGTGCTATCCTATAATGCTATCTGGTTTTGCTTCTCTGCGTTTGATATTAATCAGCCGATAGACGAAAGTAAAACAGTAATAAATGAATTACTGTTGGAGAATTAAGCAAATCTACAACTTCGTGTAAATCATTGTTCGTAGACTCCTACTGCTGTAACGTAGACTTGAAATCCACAGCTTAAATGGTCGAGCATTCCATCTCTGTTTCGGTAAGAGTTGAACTCCTATCTATACCTGCCTAAATTACAGTTTCTCATCGCCATAAACAGCTACAACGACATCTCAAACACTTTGCGTTAAATTAGGCCTTCGTGCTTCTAAAAAATAACTAAATTTAACCTGTATTTTATAGCTACACAATTGCCTAAAGTGATATGTGATCAAGCTTAATCAGTAGTTAAATCGAGTATATGGGACTGACGATTACTTTGAATTTCGATTAATTTCACTGGATCTTTATCGAGTCGTTGCAATAGCCTTGGGCGATACAACTCGATCAGTAGCAATTATGTATTTCGCCGTTTGTTTATATTAATGCGGATTAGTAAAGTATTTAAGAGTTGTTTGCGAGCAACGTTCGGATGCGTCATACAGCAGTGTATATGGGACGCCTTGTTAGGCAACTTTCTAGCGTTATTATGACATCATTTTTCGTTCATTTATTTTCAAGTCTACTATTGACAGCCATAATGCGTCATGTATGACGTCACTGATTGGTGTTTTTAGATTGAATACATGTGATGACGTAACACAATCATACTTATATTATCGATTTTAAAATTCTTACGTCAGATTTTGTTACAACTGATGGTTGTGTCATGTATGACATCAGTGTTATGAAACTTAGACAATGGCGATGACGTAAGGCAATGATGGGTTATATCTATAATATCCTTTTTTTATTCGAATTTTCCCCTGACCCCAAATAATTTTAGTCAGAACAACAATCTTTTGCCTTGATTTAGTTTTTATTCTAAAAGATCAAAAATAGATTTTTCTTTGATTTGAGATAAAAATAAATAGAAAAATCGACTAAAATTTGTCTAAAAAAACAAAAGAAATACTGTTCTAGGTAAGCTGCTCATAATTGAAATCAAGTTACCAAGTCATTTAAACAAAACAATTTGTCTCAACATCACTCGGGACTCCGAGTTTGACAATTGCTGGAGGTATTTTATTATATGGACGAGTAAAACTAGGCAGGTATGTGGACTCGGGCGATTCATCCTTGACCCGGAATCGGATACAAAATAGGAACATCCTGGAATCGGGGGCTAAAGATTCTAGATTATTCGAGATGGGATCGCAATTATCGACTGAAACTAATAAAGGTATTTACACTTGAAAAGTTTTTGAAGAAAAAATTTAGGGTTACTAGTCCTGAAAGTCGGAATATTTCTGAACTCGCAGGTCTTGTTTTGATAGCTGGATAGACAATTTGTTGGACTACGTGACCTGACTGACACCTGCCAATTTATTAGCAATGCGCAGTAGCGCAAGGATCAAGCATTACATGGCGTTTTATGACTTAACAAGTTTTAGACTACAATGCTTATAAGGAGTGAACAACACATTACGTTTACCAGACATTCTCATGAGTTTGCATACGAAATAAAGAGTATCCAATTTCTCGAGGTTGAAAGCTGTAGTCGGAGTCAAAAAATTTACGACCTGGAATCGGTGGTCGGTCAAAATTTGTTCCGCATGGAAACATCTTGGTTGGGATAGTGACGCTATGGCAGTGTTTTATTCGACTCTGTGTCATAAAAAAATCCGGATCCGAATCGTCAACGATTTGACTCCGATTTAAGGTAACATCTTACTCTTCGCGAAAACACAATTTGAAATTTCACTTTAGAACATAATGTTTGGAATTATACGAGGGCAATTAGACAGTTGCTATTCTAGGATAGCGGTCGGGGTTTTCCGGGCATTAGAGTCTCTGTTTCGAATCCCCCGATGTCAAGAATACGAGAACAAATGTTTCAAAACCGGGAATATGAAAACGCAGAATTGTGTGAGCGGAAAATATATCTTTTATTTTATTCTAGCGCTAAGGTTCAGGTCTGATATCATGGTTTCCAGTCTCAATTAGTCGGGATATCAGAATACCAGCAGTTGAATGCGAGAGACTTCACTATGTGTTCTATCAATACAAAATTACTTTTTCTAGCAGTGGGATTTTAACTACAAGTAAAAAATAAAAATCAAGAAATCGACGTTCTCATGGCAACCGGGGGAGGATCGCCAATACATTTAACGCTATTCGTTAAAAAATCGTTCGTCACTGGAGTCCGCATGGAGCACCGGCACCGTATTAAACGCTTGTTCCTTGGTGTGTTCGACAAATCCATCCGGATGGGTGGAATGTGGGGAATCTCCGATAGTTCCTCCTCGTCGTCTTCAGAAGAGGATGATGAATCGTCACAGATGATGCAGGCGGATCTAGTAGAGTCTTCCTAGAACAATAGGGGGAGGTAGTGCGGGGTACAAGTGCATGCATGAGTGATTATGTTACGCTTGAATGACTTTAGAACAAAATACATGCATGAATGATTAAGTTACGCCTGTATGAGTTAAGAACAAAAATACATGCATGAATGAATATGTTGTGCTTCAGTGACTTCAGACTAAAAATACATGCATGAGTGATTTCGTTACGCCTCGATGGATTTAGAATAAAAACGCATGCATGACTGATTATTTTAGGCTTGGATGACTTTAAGACAAAAATACGTTACGCTTGAGTGACTTTAGAACAAAAATACATGCATGAATGATTATGTTAGGCTTGGATGACTTAAGGACAAAAATGCGTTACGCTTGAGTGACCTTAGAACAAAAATACATGCATGAATGATTATATTATGCTTGGGTGACTTCAGAGCGAAATTACATACATGAGTGATTACGTTACGCTTGAATGAGTCTAGGAACATTGCAAGGTATGCATGCTTGAGTGATTATGTTACGCTTGGATCACTTTATAGTAAGAAGATGTGCAGGAAATAGATGCATGAGTGGTTATGTTACACTAGAATAAGTTTAGAGTATGTTTATTAGAGCACAAAGTAAGGAACAAATAAGAGCCTCTATGGGTCAGTAATACTTAGATGGGAGCCCACGTTAAAAAATTAAGTGCGTGCATGGGTGATTTTCGATATCCATGATATGCATAAGTGTTTTTGGGTGGCAAATAAAACTGAATGCGCATGGGAGTGTTTTCAGCAAAATAGCTCTAAAGCAGTGGTTCTGAAACAATGGGGCGCGCCCTGCATGTGGGTTGTAGGCAACTAGCTAAGGGGAAGTGAAAATAATTAAAAATAGAAATATTTGTAAGATTTGATCTTGCTTTGCCTTATTTCGGATATTTACATTTTTTTTATTTAGGATATTCACATTCCATAAACGTATTTTTCAACGTATTTTGTATAAAACTTACTTCCGCCATATTATCTGTTCCGGTATTGGTAGCTTATTGTTAGCTATTTATATTTGAGGTGGGTCGCGAGACTTGACAAATTCTGAAAAGGGGCGCGTCTTGAAAAGTTTGAGAACCACTGCTCTAAATTCTTATCTTAACCAGAACATAACATCAACTACAAGTCTAGGGCATCTACATCACTTCAAATCGGTTGTTCGCGGGTAACGTTGTCTGTGCCGAAGTACATGTTAATTAGAAAGTAAAACGTAAAACAAATAGTTAAAAAAATGAATTAAACAAAAATCAACACACGATTAAAAGAGAAAACAAATTAAAAACAAGCTTCTCTAAGACGCCATCAGTAGATTACGTCATGATTAAAGTCAACTATTAAAAAACACAAAAATGAAATTATGCACATGATCATTAGATTAAAATTCAAACAAACAAGCAATGTGACATGTCAACATATTGATGACGTAATTTTAATAAAATAAGCACAGTTTGAAAACTTAAAATTATGTAAAAATTATTGGCGCTTTGTGTATATACCAAGCATTACATAGAATAATGAAATAATCTTGAACAAACACATTATGACGTCAAACGACAGAATAGCATTTGTCTTGGCCACTCAATATATCGGGGTCATCGCACCAAAATAGATTATTCAAATTTGTGCAAAGAAATCATGACTTCATTGATGACGTAGTTATTGGTAACCGATAATCGTGAAACGGTACTATTGGAAATTCAGACGAAAAAATTTATGACGTTATTGGTGGCAATATATGACTTGTTCCATCATTAAGAAACAGGTTTTCCAAGTGAATGGCAGCGTTTAGCATGGTGAATTGGCCTAATAATAGGGATGCAAAGATCATGCTCACCGCTTCTCTCAGTACCTGGCATAAGAAGTCGGATAGGCAATGCTATACTTTTCAGTGTTTTTCAAAATCGTAAATTCTATCGTATAACTCCCTGCCTGTTCAAAGCGTTGTTCAGAGCAAATATCAGGGGGCATTTCGTTTTAAAATTCAGTCCGTAATAGCAGGGGTGTGCGTCCTTTAGTACAGGAGGGACTAATAACTGAGTGAAACACTTTTATTTAACATCGTTTTTTTTTTAGTTGCAGGTACAAAAATTTTGGTTGCTGATCCTATGACATGCATTGTTCGCTTCGCACAAGTTAGCTGTTAAAGCATTGTAACGTCATAGGCATAAATAAAAAATGAATTGAAGGCAGGTATAGGCTTTGCAACGCAAAGGAATTGGAATTACTTGCACATACCAGATTAGCTAAATTAAATTGCGGGCCGCACGCCTTTAAAAATTGGCACTTGTCTGCGGGCCGCAAACTTTTTTCTTGTGGGCTGTATTTGGCCCGTGGGCATAGTTTGCACACCACTACATTATAGAATTTGAAACTTTACATAAACATTTGGTTTTTAGTTGTCATAGCTGGACAATTCACAGTTAAGAAACTAGCATGGGGTATGCTTGAGTTCTTCTCGTGTCGATGTTTGAGTGAGAATAACCGTAGCACAGGGAGGGGTTGCGGTTCTGCGGGTACTTTCGCAGATTTGGATGCGAAACGATACTTTCGAGAGGGTTTGGTATCAGATTTTCTGCCATTTTGAAAACTTGGAAATGCTGATTTGCTTTTTTGTACAGGTTTAAGAAATTCGCTTCTTCTGGAAGCATTGATGATTTCTTTAGTTGAAAATAATTCAACTTTTGGAATTTTTTTGTTCGATGCCGGTTTGTTACAAAAAAGAGGGTGTTTGGTGCCTTTCCCGGGTTGGAACCCCAAACTGTGTTGCGCTTTTGGAAGCAATTTTGGATGATTCGGAAAATCTAAACAAAGCGTGCCAATCTGTGGGCTTGTTTGGTTATCATCAATGTTTTTGTGACATAAGTTTGAATCAATGGCATCGTTAGTAAAAGATGTGGCATCAGTAGGTAAAACTGTGGCATTTTCAGTGCATTTCGTGGCGTGAGGTGAATATTGTACAGGTATATAATTATTTTTATTGGCATTACTTGCATACATTGTGTTAGAAAAGGACTCTGTGGCATTTTTACTACGAAACTCAGACACTGAAACACATTTTGTGGCGTTGCTTACACAATTTGTGGATTGGCATTGGATATTCGTGGCACTGTTAACAAAATTTGTGGCATTTTCAGAAATTATGTCAGCAACGTCACAGTTCAATGGGTTGTCATCTAACTTCGTGGCTTTGGATACAGGTATGTCACCAAGCGTGGCATTATCATGTACATTCGTGTCATGCTCATTACAATTAGTGGCATCAATACCAAATTCTGTGGCATCACAACCAAGTCTACAAATGTTCAAACCACTCTCAAACTGTTTCTCTTTTAACCAGTCGTAAATACCTGACACTCTCTGCTTCCCGCCGAACCGGAAATCTTGTCCAGGGTAGTTGTAAATTTCCATATGGCGCGCTCTTGTGGTTGCATTCAATGAAATATCTCCTCCGAATAGCTTTTGTAGGGGCAGTGTGAGTCCGATCGTTTGGGGGGTAACGGCCATTACCCCACCTTGATGGGGTGCTTTGTGAAGAATTTCTGCTCCAGGCACAAGAGATGGGGGGAATGTTTTGGGTACAATAACTTGATGGGGGCATCCCCTTACGTGACCCCTATTTGCGGCGGCTATGAGACCAGCATAGTGGCTACCAGGAATGATTCCCATAGTGGACGCAGCTTTGGCCTGAGTGGTGCTTACGCAGTGGAAGCCCCCGACTGGGTTAGATTGGCCCCGTCCATGAGTGCTGACAGATTTTGCAATGTTCCCCTGCGATAAAACTTTAGGAATTGAAGTTTGGGAACCATTATTGCTGTGTAGGCTTTGAATTTGGCAAATCTTGGTAAATTGAGAGCGTTAGGCTTAGATGGCGTAGATTTGACTTCGTTCGTGAGTCGTTTCATTGTGGTTTGCATTTTTAATTTTACAGGGGAGCCGGTTCGCTCCAAGGGGGCCCGGGTCGAGGTCATTTTGGGCACCGGGGGCTTTGTGGTGTACCTTGTCTGTTGGGTTCGGGTTATATTTGTGCTGGACGTATGTGTGGATAGAGTTCTGAGGAGTTTGTTCTCCTGGGACGCTGTCAGCTGTGTGCGTTGAACTGTGGCGATTGACCCTGTTGTATTTCCGCTCCCCCATGACCTTCGAACTCCGTTCCCATTCATTCCTCCTGGCTTTTTGATCGAGAACCCTTCGACCTGTTTAAATAAACGAATATAAAATGAATTTCTAATGAATGAATAAACTCGAATCTGGACAAGTATTCACTGATAATAGGCTTCATGAAAAGATCGGAATTATTCTAGTCCGGCTTTGCCAATTTGTTACGTCAATGAGCGGGATGAGGCTACACTCTGCTGAGAAACAGAAACATTGCAATACCAAAAATATTGCAGTTAACGGCTACAATTGGATTGCATTTACATATTTATTTTAGGGAGTGTTAATATTGAGTAGCATTACACTGAATTAAGGACTGAGCAGCCGGGAAATACAATAAAATGCCAGTCTATTTTTTCCTTATTTATCTTTTTCAATCTCACCTGCAGTGACTTTCCAACATACAGTGGGACATCAATCAGTGGCTGCTTGTAGGCCAGTTCAAACAATCCTATGTCACAATTCCTGTCCTTCCGTCGATCCAAGACAACTGAAAAAAAAATGTCGTCAAAATATTGAGATATATAGAAGAGTCAAGTTCAAGTCGAGTTTATTTTTTTCCAACCAGTAAAAAAAATATCACAAGCACAAATTATGACAAAATGATAATTTACACAGTTCCATTGGGGAATTTAAGTCGCAGGGAACCAAAGTTGGTTATCGAGCCGCGACACCCGAGGTTCAAATATCTAATTCAAAAGGTTAAAGTTTTGAAACTACGATGGGAAGCGCATGAAATACCTAATCTTCTGAAAAGAATGTTCAGAATCTACTTGGTTGGTTTTGAGAATTTGAAAAATACAAACATATGGCGAGTTACACAATTACTTATGATTTTATTTACGCGGCATGTTTTGTATGTCCACTCTGAACAGGGCTTTAGGTAAGAGGATAAAACCTGATGTTTTTTGAAAGAAATTGTCCAAGGCAAAGTTGTAGGTTTGTGATAAATTGAGGCCAATTTCTGAGGTGTGACATAGAAAGTTACATTTCATAAAAATATTTACAGTGTTACAAAAGCAAAAATGGAAAACAATACGCCCCGTGCCAAAACTAAATTTAATCACAATCTCAACAAATTCCTGAAGCTATTTTTCTCTAAATCATCCAAATTTGTTTTTAGTTCGGTTCTTGCAATTGTCACAACAGATTTCGAATTTCAATAACAACAATTATGTAGTGCATGTAGGATTGGTTAAAAGCAGAAATGTATGGCAGCATTAGGTGGGCCATATTGAATCACCCATCGAGCCAAAATCAGCCTGTGAGCCAGCCTGTGAGTTTGCGCTTGTCAGATATAGAATCATGGTGGTGTTAAGAGAGCACTCACTCGGAATTAAAAAAAAATCTCATGTATGAGTAAAGCTACGGTCAAGTGCTGGAATTGGGAAGGCTACATAAAATTTATATATATATATATATCATGAAGATTGGGATTTTTCTTGGGTGCTCCCGAAGTATGTGCACCAAGACGGCGCCCAACCTGAGCATAGTATGTGTATCAGGTTAGAGTTCAGGTTGTGTGCTATCTTGGTGCACATACTTCCTACCGAATCTATAACACTCTATATGAATTCGAAAGGTTCTATAATAGCCCCGAAATGCACTGAAATGCCACACTTTATCTTACGATGCCACAACTTTTACTAAGGGTGCCTTTGATTCAAGCATAGGTCACAGAAATGTCGCTGATAACCAAACAAGCCCACAGATTGGCACGCTTTGTTTAGATTACCCGGACCATCCAAAGATTTCCAAATAGTAGTTGCTCATTACATATTAGGAGATGCTCTCACCCAGCCTTGTTCAGAGCAAAATGCACAAAAATTAGTCGCCGCTAGTAATTTACCTTTCAAAGTATCCTCCTGTACAGACGCACACATCTTGCTTGTTACCGTTGTCGACCGAGCCATCGTAGGACTAGAGTTAATCTCAATCAACCAGGGATTGTACAGTTCATCGACCATGAAGTCTGCGCCGTAGAGTTCAAAGGAGCCTTTCCTGGGAGAGAATTAACAGAGTGAGGAGAAACTTTTTACATTTTGGGGAATATCAGGAGCTGTTGTATTAATTAAGGCCTTGTTCGGATCGGAAGGTGTAGATATAAAAAAAATTGCGTTGTATGAAAAAAGCTCAGAGTAAGGAACTCGACAGTGCAGAAACTACTTCTGGATGGCTTGGGTGTGCTAGTTTCTAAGTGAATATTGAAAGAGTTTTACAGGAAGGTTGACTAGCACTGCAGTAAAGTAGTAAAAATTGCGAAATACAGAGAACGGCGTATATAATGTTATAAAAAAAATAAGGAGAAATTGCCTGACTACCAGAGCATGTGTTTGTTTGGTCATAATAGTTGGCATAAAGAAGGGTTTTTGAACAGTTATTTAACTAGATTAGGGCATGATTGCCAGTCAAGATGATGTGTTGGTGGGAGGAGGGTTTGGGGTTCTACTTTGTTATGAATACACCAGCAATCATATGGCAACCACGGCCTCTCGTCCGGTTACCAGTTCATGTCAGGTATGCCAGTTATTTTTTTCAGATGCAAGGACTTAATGGTGGAGGAAACCGTAACTGACCAGTGATTATGTGAACCACTATACTAAGGCGAAAAGTCCTGCAATTCCTCGCACGAAACTATCCCCACATGGAATTTGAACCAGCGTATTAGTGCCGTACATAGCTCTATATAAAGTGGAATACCTGGATGACAAACCGCCCTCGAAGGACAACACAATATATAGAGAGGCGGGAGAGATTATTTAGCCAGTTATTTGTTTCAGATGCACGGACTTGTTTTGTGTTCAAAGATGAGAATTCAAAGAAGGACAAGGTACCTGAACTCTACGACGTCTTGTGCAGTCTGGCACATGTATATGATGGCTTTCCTCATCCCAGGGAAAATCAGTTTGTCCCACAAATGCTCGCAACCTCGGGATCTGAAAAACATTAAAATGATTTTAATCAGCCATGTCCTTATTTTTTAAGGAAGTGTCACCAGTGTCATTTTCACACACATTGGTGGCATGGTCTTTAGAAATAGTGGCAACAATACAAAATTTAGTGGCATCAAAACCAAGTATCTGATATGTTCCTTGAATTGCTCCCTAGAACAGGGGTTCTCAAACTTTTGGTGTTGCGGAGCCCTTGAAAAGTTGAATATTATTCGCGGAGCCCCAAGATAAATGTTAAAATTGTTACTTTCAGATTAATATTCCTGGGCAAGTTAAAAGTACTTTACTTATTTAAAATGCTGAACCTTTTTTAATAGGATTAACACAAGCCATAAATGAATCTGAATTTTATACTAAAGCTGTAAATTTGACACTTGACGAACATATTAATAAATTAGGGGTCGAATCTTTTCTCTTTTGACATTTTTGGAAGACTTAACAGGCCTCTAATAACGTGCGCGATTTTATTTTGTTACAATCGCCGATTTTTTTCGTCAGCTTGGCGTGTTTTGAACATCTTTACGCCGGTGTTTATTCTCCCTAAATCAAAAATTTCCCTCGGCATATACATGTATTGTTACACAATGACGACGTTAATTCCTTTTTTGTTCTCGTGGGAAATTATGAGTTCAATGTGAAAAACATGTTACCATATAATAGTCTTCTGCGACGAAATGTTAAAAATTATAATTAATAAAGAGATAATCCGCAACTCAATATTTTTGATTGAAAAACGGCATTCTAAAATATTAAAACTGAAACTTAAAAATGGAAGATCACACGTTTGGCTTTCAGCAGACTCACCTCAGATTGAAACGCTTTTATAGACATTGTAAATCACAAATTTGGTGTTATGTTAGGTTTTTCGGTCCGTAGTAACTGCGAAATCGAAACACAGTCAATTGTGCGCGCGATGTACCCTTTTCCCATTTTGAAACTACGACGAAGCCGCACGCAATCAATTGTGCACGCGATCCACGATGTACCTTTTTTTCATTCTGAAACTACCGACGGAGCCGAATGCAATAAAATAAATTCTAATTGTTCGTATTTTGCCCAGACATTGTGATTTTTTAAACGGCGATATCCTGCTTAAAAATAATCTCAGGTGCGAAAGAACAAATCAAGTTTGACAAATCCCAAGATCGCGAAAATACGACTCCACTTTATTTATTGTTGGCAGTTTATTACATATTTTATGTTATTTTAGAATAGTCTTCTTTCATTTAAGTAATACTAATACTAATCTCGAATCAAACTTGAGTAACGATGATCACAATTACATTATAACGAAGAGACACGTTGAATGCTCGCATCGGTCATGGATTGAATATTCTACGCAACAGAAATCTCGTTATCCGTTTTTTTAATGGCGAAGAATGTTGCGCGGAAATTTCCGATTCCAATTTTGAACCACCTCCCTCTTAAGAATCCTGGCTGCGCTCCTGCTTATAAATAATGTCATTTTTAATTCAGCCTCTTTACCATATTTCGAGGCTGTATTGTTGTCAGATTTTATCAACGCTGTTATTGCTTCTTTCAACAGTTACAAAATTTTGAGTCAGTATTTCGAAGAGTAATCGAATAGCTCGCGGAGCCCCTGGGTTTCTCTCGCGGAGCCCTGGGGCTCCGTACGGAGCACTTTGAGAACCTATGCCCTAGAACACACAATATGACTATACTCACTGCATATAGTTCTTGAATTCATCACTAGACCACATATTATCATCCGGCAACATCGGATGTCTCTTCGAATCGATCTCATAATTCTTCTGCACTGAGTAGTTGCAAAGATGAACAGACCTGGAATCACAAAAGATCAAAGATGCGGAAATTCTCCAGGAAGTGACAAATAAAGGTCTAGTTAATTAATGAAAAACAAAAGGAGCATAAATCAAAGAAAAATTGACGCTCAGTAAAATATGGCAAAGGAGCGAATTTATGAATTTTCTATGTGTATAATTACATTTTTAATGATTGCCATTACACACTTTTGACAGTTTTTCGGCCTTTAATTTTTGTATTGATTCTTGCATGATAGAAATAAAATATCTGAATCTGAGCGAGTTCGAAGAGATAGTATAAAATTAATGAGTGGGCGCAATGCTTATTGGGTAAGGGTAAGGCAGTGGACACTCCTGCAGTGCCTTGCTCAAAGAAAACGATGTGCATAAGTGGAGCATAATAATAAAAACATGAAGGTCAAATTTCATTGTATTGCATCCTATTTTGTATTATGACGTTACCGCAATTAGTCATCAAACCATCAAGCCCTGATGAACAAGTTAATGGCCAACACTGGTAACCACAAACAACTCAATTTACCAATTAACCATTTTATACCGATAATTATGATTCCACCAGTTCAATCAACAAAAGCATTTTTATAGCATCGTTGAACAAAAAATCTGTTCACTGTCTTTACTGATCATACTTACGGTTCCAGAATCTTTAAAGAAAACGGCTTTGAAGAAAATCTCAAATACGAAGTTTTGTAAATCCATATTGTCATCGGGTTCCAATCTGTCACCAGAAACCACTGCCTGATGTCAAATTTTGTTCCATAGACCAGTAGAGGGCGCTCAATATATTTTTGCACCACCCACCTCCCATCTTTCATCAAAGTGGGGTCGCATTGAACAAGCTTCAGGATATCTTCAAGTCGATTCATGACTATTATCCCTGGAATTTAATTCGAAATATTTTTATTTAAGTTTTTTTAAATAGCCGACTTATTCATAAACATTTCGCTCAAAAAATAATCTACACATGCATTCACTATAAACCAGGTGTAATATAGAGCTAAGATCTGAAGTCCGACTCGAGTATATTTTTCTAAAAAATATGTGCTAAAACCATGTGTGGAATTCATAAAACTCTTAAATAAGATATGAAATTTCGGGTTTGATTCGGGCTCAGGCCTGCAAATCCAGTTAATGAGGCGGGTTCAATACCCATGGGCCCGGGTCGGGTCGTCTGGAATTTTTGGGCTCGATCTTGCCTCTAGTGTGATATAATATTATTTGTTATGAGTTTTTTTTTATTTAAAAAGGGCTGCATTATTTCAGGGTTACTAACGGGTAATAGGGGGGAGGTATTGTGCCGAGATAATTGTAGCAAAACTGCCAGTTCATTTCGAGTGCTGTGCGCCTCGTATAGTCGTACATGAAAATTATGCTGTGGCCTATAATGGAAACATGTTCACAAAAATTCCACAGTTTATGGCAGGGGTGGGCACAATTTTTTAGTATAAGAGCCTCATGCTGCAAGTCAGAATTTTAAAAGAGCCGCAGAATTTGTGAATTTATAAATATTATCAAAATACCATGAACAGAAAAGAAATTCACACAAGAGTCTAATAACAATAAATAGATAAACAAGGCAGCTATGCTCAAATATATGCACAATTTAAGCTCATTTAATTTGTGTTTCCTTATAGCTGATTTACAAGGGTAGTCTCGTAAGAAGTTTTCATGATTCGTTCTATGTTGCCGTTTAACATTGCTGACTTTATTATGATTATTCTGACTTAGTAGCTTATGGCAGATTAAGCACAAAAGTTTATTCTCCTGACTGGTAAATGCGTATTCTTTCTTCTTTGCACCCTGACTTGACAACTCTGTTTTCATCTTCGTACTTTCCTTTCTTAATTGAGGACATACGCAGAGTAACTCAGACTAACTAACCGCAATCAAGCTGCAATACCGCTGACGCATCAATAAACATTGATCATTGTGACGAAAGATTTGCTGATTTGACTGACTTAAATTCAAAATTCAACGCTACACCGATTTTCATACTAAAACCTAATTTGTCTCAATCATTGAGGGAAACTTCTTTACGACTTTTAATAAATTAAAAAAATTCACATTAAAGTTTTTCTCGTAGTTAAAATTTGGATAATAATTTATGTTAGCGAGAAGAGCCGCACAAAAAGTCTGGCGAGCCGCGGTGTGCCCACCTCTGGTTTATGGACTATCGAGATGGATGGCGGCTTATTCAAAACCGTATTTTCTTCCGCAAAGGGTAGAATTCTCGGAATTCCAATATTTGACTTGGAAACAAGAAACAATTAGGAGAAAATTTCAACGATCGGCGGGTTTTTCACTTCTGCCATGGTAATAAAACATCAATCTGAACTTTTGGTGAAAAGCACATGAACAGGGTGTCAGCATAAACCACGTAAGAATTTTCAACAGCCAGGCAGTTTGGACGCTACAGATAAACACACAAACAGACAGAATAACTGAGAATTAAAGTCTCCTAGAGATCCCAAAGACGGGAAAAATCTGCACCAACAAATTTTATCTCCTTTATACATTACCAACCAGGGTGTCCATGCCGGGTTTTCCAAAACCCAAAATTCTGGATTCCATACTACTTGAAATTCCAAACAAATGTTGAAAATCTATGTATGGATAGTCATTTTGTGGAGGGCAGTGTTCGGCACCAAGTACCAATGCGGGTGGGTTGTGGTAACTAGAGGGCAGCTGCCTTAGGTATATGAAAATAATAAATTGGGCAGTTAATGAGACTATGCAAGTTGTATCTGGTTCAAACAAGAATAAAGTGCTTTTTGTGTAGAAAATAAGTTATACCAAATATCCGAGGAAGTCGCTTTGTATAATTATTCAAAATTTTTATTTTTTTAGGATATAATAAAAAAAACTGAACTCATCATTATGAAAGAAAATGACTCTCGCAAAAACCTGGGAAATCATGATGTAAGATTTCGAAAACGCGAACCAGGGTTTTGAATTGATAAATCCGAATCATACCGACCTCTTCCCCTGGACTTGGCTCCAGGTTTCACGATCCATGTGTTCATCAGCCCATCAGTGTGATATTGCCGGTTCAAGTCTTTCAATTTCTCTAAGATCTGTTCGCATTGCTTATAATAAGATCCGCTGTTTTCTATGATCGCGCCGTCACTGTGAAAAGAAGTTTTGGTATTTACGGCAAGTAAAGGAAATCCGACAACGGGACATATATTTGGTATATATATTTGAACAAGGTATTTATTTCATATGCATAAACTTGGAAGAGGCAGTAACTAACCAGCAGTTACATAAACCACCCTACGACAGCTAGCAGTCTAGCAACTCTCTTGCACATAATATTTCTCCATGGGGTTTAAGCCCTGAATGTCGTTACTTGTTACAGACGCGTGGTGCAGGAAGCCATAAACTACCAATGACCACGTGAATCATCCTATGCCGGCTTCAAATTCAGAAAATCCTCTCACATATGACTGCTTGTCTATGTGGACCTGCTTCTATGACCTGATTGCTTTATGTCTGTATATCGAGAAAATGACACCTAAAATACACTAATATACTCACTGTACAAGCTTGTAGTAATGCTGTATAATCAATGTCCAGTTCTCATCTGACATTTTGCAGCAGATCTCGCTCAGGTCAATGTCCTCGTGGTCTCGTTCCTCGGCAAACATTCGACACGCTTGAATGGCTAGCTGCAGAACATTACTTGGCACAATGTGCGACGATGCTGAAAATTTCATGCAGAATTGATTATACGTTAGCGTAAAATTATCATATAGAGTCCATTTTCGATCAGAACATCTGGGCCGGAGTGCGCTTAACACTAGCAAACATTATTGAACATTTTATGCAAATGAGAGAAGAACAAAGAGTCTTATACGAGGTGAATGAACAAATTTAACGAATAAGATAAGTTAGATAAGTTTATTTCGACTCCATAATCAGCAGGAAGGAGACAAAACGGTTGATGAAAACAAATAAATAAAAACTGATTATGAAATCAGGAGAGTAAACAAAACCTTGGATAAGGTTTAAAACGTACAGAATATAAGATGGGAGGTATTGCCAAAAAGAAGCGGTACGTGTTCACTCAAAATGGTGGGAACCACTGCTCATGGTTCCAGTAATTGTCTATTCTCACCCCAGTATTTGGTCAAGTTTAAACACATCCACGCACAAGATACTATAGCAAACGCACCCTAAAAGGTATTAAATATTTGTACTCACCACCGGGTGGCTTCTGTCCAAATTTTTCTGGGTCTCTTCCCCCACTTTCCTCCCCGGTGTGTCGATCAACTGCAATCCTCAATATGGCAGTGGCAGCGACGAGACGAAAATCGTCTGAAATGATATGAATGCGGCCGGGTTAGGAGAATCGGGTTCTCATATTTATACCCTGAGAAGTGGAAAGCTGATAAAACTGATTAATCGAAAGCGAACCAAGGACTCATGTACGGTTAGTAGTCGAGGCTATGTGTAGGTACATTTATCCAGTTATATCTGTATTTGTTTTAAATAAGTGAACTTGATGATGGAAGAAGTCTAACATGCTGCCTGAGGCGAGTTTCTGATGATGATCCAATGATGCCCCTTACACCTAATTCAAAAGTAATTTGAGGAACAAACATTATCCGTGCGCATTAATTATAGATGATGTTATACATGAGAATAAATGAATTAAGGGTCAAGTATGATTTAAATGTTTGTTTTTCTACTTATAAATCATCAAACTAAGCAACAAACTCACCCATATAACACGCTGCCTGAGACGGCTGCCTCTATGGCCCTTAGAGACACGCCTTTGTTTACAGTGAGGAGTCTAGCTATCAGAGGTGTTATGTTCCTAACGTTTAACACGAGCTAATACCGGATTACAGTTCATGCGACGTATGAAAGTGATCAACAAATTTATTGCCGAAGCCATAACTAACAAGCGGTTATGCAAACACGATTACAATTACAGGGTCAAACCTTGCATAGAGCATAGTGCAGAAAGAATTTTGAAACTTTGTCTAAAATACTCTCTGCAGCTAGTCGACATTAGTTTAATTTCAACCCAACTTAATTTTTAAAAATAACAATTGGCAGCATCAGAGCTTTCATATTGGAATGTGATTATTCTGGCCATTCATGCCTCAATGAATCTTAAGCGTACTAAAGTTAACCAAAATCATTTACCTATGAAATCCAGTTTGTCTTCTTCTTGACTCAACCTGTAAGCATCTTGGAAGAAATTGTCTACTTCTGCATCCGCAAAACAGGTCAAAGTTCGAAGGTTAACACACAAGCCGGTCTGTAATGAGATGAATTGATCTTGATCTCCGCCATAGTAATCACAATATACAAGACAAATACACAGAAACGAATTCAGGAAAAATACCAAAACTTTGGTACTCCCGAAGTATGTGAACCAAGATGGGTTAGGCCATAATTTCAGGTACAAATACTACAGGAGTCACTTGGCTAGTCCCCAAATTCCATATTTGTAATAAAATTATGGCCTAACCCTAACCTGGTACACATACTACATTCCGGTGTCCACCATCTTGGTTAACATACTTCGGGAGTATCAAAAATTGGGTTAAAACACAAAACATAAAAAATACTAGTACATCTCTAGAGCAATGGTTCCAAAACTTTATAATATCGTTACCCTTAAATTGAATACCCATACGCTTAATTATTTCTCTTATAAAAACAAAATTGTCAGTGCATAATTTATCAAATTTAATAAAAACAACAACGAACATGGGAATCTATGAACAGAAGAACAATGTCCAGATTCAATCGCGATGAAAAGGGTGGTACTTTTTCTGTGATGTCAAACGATATAGTGAACGTCTGAATTACCCCTTAAAAATGACAAATTTGATTACAACGCACAATAGAACCTGCGAATATAAGTGAAAACAGCACTTTCTATTTGAGCGTCAAACAGCAGGCAGGTAAATATTTCGATTTAAAATGATTATTACGAGCATGTAGTCCGAACACTCAGAAAAATAAGATTCAAAATTATTGCAATTGGGAATTTTACGGGTAGATTGCCAAACTGAGAATGAGATTTGAAAATGCGACACAACACATGAACATGGGTACAATCTCACATCGTGAAATAAAAACAAGCGAAACACTTTTCAATTAGAATTCAATCTTGCCAAATATATTGTACCCAAATATAGGACGCACAAAAGTTATGTTCTCTCTAGAATATGTTCCAAATGACCTTGATTCTGTTTTCTTTTGAGCCACCCTCCATCGGAACCTTGGATGTCGGTGATATCTATCTTTGTTGGATGGGTGTCCCCATTCCCTTCCCCAGTAAAACTGTCGCTTCAATTTTCTTAATTTTTTGTGGTATTTGGCTGGAATAACTGACTGCAAATGTGTTCATGGCAATTTAGGGAGACTTGGTCGAATTTTCAAACTTCCCGTATTCGGGAGTCGACTTTCCATGATAAAAAAATTCAAAATTTTCCTTACACTCAAACTCAAATGCCATTTACAATGCCTCCTAAATAGTCTATAAGGCTTTTTAACATCAAATTTTAGATTATCAAAATTTTTTGAAGTCGGAGCTGGAGTGTGAGTTGAAATTTCACAACCCAAAGTTCAGAAAAGAAGTTGGAGTCAGAATTTCATAAATCGGATAGGTAGTAGGTTGTAAATTACCACAGAGTCTGGATCTTTTTTCGTCCTGAATCTGGGTAATATTTTCTGGTTGAACATACCTTTGTAGTGAAGTTTGCTTTTGCGTAATGATTGACAACTTGATCTTTCTGTAAAAACCTCCAATCTATGGATGAGTTACGAGTCGTCCATTGAAACGTTGGAATCTCATTACGAACCATTCGACCCTAAATTGTGAATGAAATTCAATTCATTAAGAAAGGGACTTCTCTTGTGCATTAAAGTGATATTATGGACGCACTAAACAGTATTTTTTACGAACGCTTTTTCATGGGTTTACTATGAAAATCACAACCATCCAATGAAGAAGAGCCGGAATCCCTCCAGTTCTGCCTCCTGAATTGATTACACCCTAAGTAAGTTTCCGGGCATGGCGTTGCAATCCGATATCTAGTAATACTACACAAAATACAAAATGAAATTTCTTTCATAAGAAAAATTTAAAAATAAATTTCCCGGCGGGGAAATATTCGCCATCTGATATCGCTGCCACAGCCATCTGACCTACAAGAAAATGACTCTCACCATAATTCCATATTTGTTGTCTGGATCGTCTCCTTCTTCGTCCGAATCTGGTCTCGGTGACATCCCGACTCCGGAGTCTTTCTGATCATCGTCTGCAAAATAAAAAGTAGCGCTACCACTATAATTGGTCACATATATCAGTGAGTTCTTGTACAAAACCTTGGGGCCATGTTTACAACACGACATGGCGTTGGCGTGGCACAACCATTTTTGCATATGTTATTCCTAACCCCTATCATTACGTCACTACGGCATCACAGTAACGTAATAAGGCCCTTTCAAACTATATGTCATTCAAGCCAAACAGACGGTCCCCCGAAATCGAGCAAGCTGTTTTTCAGTTTGTAATGAGAATGAGAGAGATCGCTGGCATTAATGAGTTCTTCATGGCAAAGATGCCATTTCGTGCAATCATCGTAGCTATATTTGGCAAGCTTTATAACATGAGTGTGACGTTGTTGTGACGTAACTTTTTGAGATGACAGAGCCAGGTGGGGGTTAGGAATACCATATGCAAAAATGGCTGTGCCACACCAAATAGTGATATTTACGCGATTCAGTGAACTTGTCCGAGCCTTGTTCTGAGTGAACATGTCATGCCACACCAAATAGAAGTATTTACGCGATTTAGTGAACTTGCGCCGAGCCTTGGTCTGAGTGAACATGTCATGTAATAAATCACAACACTTACCATCATCATCGTCATCATCTATGTCATCAGCATCAGAGGAATCCCCTTTATCTTTGGATTTTGCGGGACGGGGAGGAAGTTTGAATTCTTTTTCGACCCACCCCCTTTCTCTCAGTGCCCGTCTTATCAGGGGGTATGGTCCGTGAATCGAGAAAATTTTCTTATTCTGAGAAAAAAAAAATCAAATTTGAGGTAAGGATAAGGATAAAACGGGAGAACCCTAAGAACCGCATCGGGTAGAAAAGTTTGAAAAAATGTTAATTCAAGCCTGAATGAATATTTTAAGAACGGGTTCTCCTATGTATCGAGGCACTAACAACAGGTTCCCTCAAATCAAAAAATGTACGTACGTCATTACCTGAGCTGCATTAACATGACACTTTCTGAATATATATTTTACACACAACTTTTTAACGAAGTGACAAACGTAAAAATCATTATGCATTTTTATCCACATGAGTGCCTTTTTAAACATAGACTGTCAGATTAGGGCCCAGGGGTTCCCTTTTTTTTTTTTCAGGACGACCCCAAAGACAATTTTCAAGTGTCCAGTGCGACCCCAGGTCAATATATATATTTTTCATGAAACTTTAGAGCTTCTTTCACTGGACTATTGAGTTTGGTCATGTGGCGGTATTAAGTAAAATAAGCTGAAACCAAAATATGATGTCACAATAAGCACCTACATTTTCTATAGCATAAGCATAGAGCGATGCCTATGGGCCTGTTTTACATTAAGCCACAGTGCAAACTGCTGAATTTAACACAGTTTATCAAATCTTAGATGTTCTGTACATCCATTCTCTACCATACCTCAGCGACCCCGCCGACCCCATGACCTGTTTGCGACCCTACCTACTTACCACTCCAGACCCAATTTGGGGTCGCGACCCCTGGATTGGGAACCCCTGGATTAGGATTTTAGGCTAGACGGGGAGTGTTGACCAGAGCCACACTAAATGGCTTGGTGGGCCGGGTTGTGACCCGCAGGCCCCCTGTTGCACACCCCTGTTTTAGCATTGTTACCATAAGCATAAGGCTATTGTTAGAAAATTTCAATTCATTGTGTACATGGAAAAACTAACTTGCTTGTGTGGCCAAGCTGGAAGTCTGACAGGCAAAAAATGTTGAACACCATAACGGGTTCGTGCAAACCCTTTGAATCTACCATTGGTCTGTGAGCTGGCAAAATTAAAATTTTGTACTGTAGCAACCGCATTCAAAGGTGGATTGCGTTTCTGAATTCGAGTCGGATTTATAATTTGACCGGAGATGGAGCCGGAGTCCAAATGAATTCAGGTTGAGATTTGTTGTTTGAGTGAACCGGTGTAGGAGTCAAATTTATAGCCTAACCGAGGTTGGAGTCAAATTCTGTGCTTGAATGAACCTGAGTTGGAGTCAAATTTAGGGTGCTTCAGAAGTATGTGCACCAAGATGGCGCACAACCTGATGATCCCAACCTGGTACACATACTATGTTCAGGTTGTGCGCCATCTTGGTGCACCAACTTCGGGAGCACCAAATTTAGAACCAAGTCGGATGCAGAATTGAATTTTTTAATAGACTGAAGTTAAAACCAAATCCTGAGCCTGAAAGATGGCAATCTGGGACCGGATTTCTGACTAATACCGGATAAACTGCAACGTACCTTTATAGCTTTCTCAGCTTTCAGTTTGGCTTTCTGTAATCTATCCACGTTTGCGTATGGATCGATCATAACTCGTTTACGTTGCCCTCCTTTCCCATGGATGACGTCATAAGCAAAATAAGTTTTTGATCTGGGGGGTAAAGTTGGTGGGGAGGTGCAAGGAGGCATTGGAGTTCGGGGGGTGTCGGACTCTGAAAAAAAATGAAAAAATAGGATTAGGTTGGACACCCCCAAGTTCTGAAGAAAAAATAACATATACTCCCCCCACAGAGTAGATGTTTCCCCGACCCTTGACCCCTGAAAGATTCTCCCTTTACCTCAACATTGCAAAATTTTCAACGCTAATTTTCAGTGTTTTTGGGTGTTTATACACTATTTTTTGGAAACACAACTAAAAAACTGACGAATAACACGCGAAACTACCAAAACGAGACAATTTTTACAACCATGCTTAAATATCTGTCTGAGCGAAAGAAGTGTCGGAGCGGCGACATAAATGTTAATTGTTACGTGATTGTTACCTTATTGCTGATTTGTAATTGTTACGGAAATAAACGAGGAAATCGATGCTCGATCGAACATCCATAGCAAGCATATTTGTATGATACCCTAGTGCAGTATTCTTCAACCTTTTATACCGTGGTATACCTTTTACAAATTTTCAAGAACTTTTGTATACCTCACAAATCAATGTTTATTTAGGGCCCAAATAAACATTAAATTTTAAGCACAGATTGTAGAAAAACTAAAACGGATGATACTGCAATATTACCATGCAATCTAATAGGCTAGTGTCCGCACGTTATAAATTTGACTTGCGGCCTTAGCGTCAATGGGAATAACGTTCAACGTAAATCAAACGAAGTGCATGGCAGACGAAATCACGATCCCAGACACGTGACCGCATTATCTATATAATTTGTGATGTAACCATGTGCTCAAGTCGGTTCTTGTGTAAATGACCTTCTATATTTCATGTGTCCGCAAGTTATAAATTTGACTTGCGGCCTTAGCGTCAATGGGAATAATGTTCAACGTAAATCAAACGAAGTGCATGGCAGCCGAAATCACGATCCCAGACACGTGACCGTATTATCTACATAATTTGTGATGTAACAATGTGCTCAAGTCGGTTCTTTGTGTAAATTATCTTCTATATTTCATGTGCGCCGTGTTTGCATTATTTTCACCAATCAAATATTTTATAATTTAATATATTAGAGTTCAGAATCCATGACTTAGGCTGTACACCCTCCGTGTACCCTTTATCAGTTGTATACCCAACTTATGGTCCGGTATACAATTGGTTATACAGTATACCCGGTTGATGAGCACTGGCGGCCTAGCGGTTAAAGCGTCAGGGTTGGCATTGCAGATTAAACATATTGAGTTTGAATCTCATGCTCCCGCCAAGGGGCGTGTCAAAACTTTTCTGCTTGTCCGGGGCGAGTTTCTGATAATGATTCCGCTTATATATAACTTCAGAATATAATAATTCGGGGGTTAAACAAGGTATATTTGTTGTTATACATAAGAATAAATAAATTCAAGGTCAAGGAAGAGTGAAATATTTGTACTATTATTTAAGTCATCGAACTCAACAACAACCTCACCCCTACAACATGCTACCCAGGGTGACTGTCCTTATGGCCCACCCCTGCTTTCACCCCACCCAAGGTGAAATAAATGGAATCAGATACCAGAACAAAAAAAATTTGGCTTTTTCATATATATTAGTTCCTTAAAAATCAGTGGTTTGTTCTGAGTCGACAACACTCTCTGGATTGCAGAGCCGTTTAAAAATGACAGTTTTGCCGTGGGCTGCATTTTCCATGTCAATCACAAAATCACTCACCCATATAAGTCACATGATGGGGCGGTTTCCGCTTGTTCAATCGTTTCGTTAGGAGAGAAATGCTGGGTTCGCCTGAAAATGAGAAAGGAACACTGTTAAATAGGAGTCAGGAACATTGTTAATAATAAAGAAGGTACATTGTTAAAAATGAGTAAGCAACACTGCTAGAATGAGCAGGGGGCACTGTTGTAATGAGTAGGGAACCCTGTTTAAATGAAGAGGGAACCCTGGCAATGTTAGGTAGGGAACACTGGATATGTTAGGTAGGGAACATTGCTAAATACTGTATAGGCAAGAAACCTCGTTAAAGATGAATAGAGAACACTGGTGAGAAGGCCTGTTGGAACAAATTCAACTTAAAATACAAACTCGTAGAATTTAGGTTGGGGAAAGAATATTAACAAAACCCAATGGGGGAAAAGATGAGCACCGTATTCAGACCCAGTGGGACAAAAAGCGTTTGTTTCTTTCTGAAGTGGAATTGGGGGAGGAAAAGACTCGTAAGTAACTTGACTAGAAATGTACTCGAGTCACCGATTACCAAACACTCAGAGTGACTCAAATGTATTGACTCGGACTCGTGCTAAGCTAAGTGCCAGTGAGACTCCGTGATTGACTCGAATGACTTGTACACAACACTCATTCCCTTCAATCATCTGGCAACAAAAATTCTTGACTAAAGTCATGCTCGGATCAAACCCATAATCTACAAACCTGTTGTCGGCCTCGGTTTCATGTTTTCTTGGTTTTCTTTCTGGATCGCAGCAAACTGAAAAGTCGTTTAAAATGGTTTCTTATAAACAAACAAATTCAGTTGGTGGCAACTAATGATCTAAAAAAGCCATTTATTTCCATCTATCTAAGTATATTACAATTATTTTTTCATCTGTGAAAGTGTGGGACGGCGTCACCGGCTCTTTTCAAATAAAAATAAATCTTACATATCGTCAGAGAACAGAAAATGCTTGTACAAGGTTTCATTCGGAAGGCATAATTAAGCGTCAAATGAGAAAAACTAAAAAAATTTCATACGGAAAGCTATTAAATTTATTTTAAATACATTCATATCCATCAAAATTCATTCATAAACCTATTTAAATATGTTCGTATCCACCTATATTTATTTACATGTATCTCAATATAAACGAATATTCTATTAAAATCCATAGCCGGACAAATAAATCCCCAACTTAGTTATATGATAAATATATCCAACAATATCCATATCTAGCCAAATTACCTTCGCTCTTTTACTTCCCGGCTGCTCTTGGTTCGAACTTGCTTGCTGTTGTTCGTACTGTAGAAAAAGAAATGGACGGATTTTATACAGAGCTATAAAATCGGATTCCGAATGTTTTCGTCCAAGTTGAATTCGCCCGGGGTTGGGATTCAAAGTCGGAATTTTGAATTCCAAGGTGTTGGGAGATGTAACTTCGGACTTCGGTAACTTTTCAATAGTGATAAAAGAACTAACGCTAATGAAGAAGTTATCAAAATTTGATTTATTGGAGGGCGAAGTCGATATACCAAGTCGAAATTCTATTAACATGGAATATAGCAGGCTGTAGTTTGAGTCCAAATTGCTTCCAATTCGGAGTCATAAATTGAATCCGGCCCTCTTAAGTCTGCTGAAATTACGACTATGGTTTTCATGGATATAAATTTCCGTTGAAAATATCGATGAAAATAACGTCATGATGAACCCCAATTACATTGTGCTTCTTATTATTATATAAACGTTAGCCTAGCTGTTGGACTAGCTTTTGCAAAGAAGCTGTTTTTTTGTTCATAGTTTTTCATATTGATTTTTGAGCCGAACCAAGTCTATGTAACTGGCCCACTCAGTAAAGGGTACTCCCGTAGTATAGGGTCAGGCCATAATTTTATTCCGATTATCCTTATTTTAATTATATTACGAGTTCAGGGACTATCTTTGTTAGCCAAGTAAATATACCTCCTGCCCATAGTTTTTACACAACTTGATGTAAAATAAGCAAACAAAATTAGTTACCTTCATATTGGTACATATACTTCTGGAGCGCCCAGAAAAGTATTTGCCCACCGCTGATTTAAATTAAAGTAGTCATGTGAATGGTGATTACAAAGGCCATTGATCGAGTGACCGCTCAGTGACGTCATATAGACGTCAAGGCCAAAAGTAGCCCTTGCAATACGTCACTCCCTCAAATCAAATAAAATATTCACCAATTTTTTCTGCCTTTCCATATGTCTTTGCTGTCTTTCATAAAAATCCATTCCAAGGTTGCTAACGATCCTTGAGCTCGCTGAACTAACCCGTGGATGGAAAGTGAATTCAGAACTATCATAAGTTGGCTTTGTAACCTGCAGAAAATTCATAGTCAGTGGGGTCCAAGGGGTTAATATAAAAATGGAACGAGTCACAGAAATTCTAAATAAATTGCGCAACATTGATTTTACGTTGGAACTACAGGCTAAATATCTCGGGTGTGAAGCCCCATGCCACCACCACACCCAGGGGTATCAAAATTGATTAAACGATCTTTCCCAAATATAGTAGCTGCTCATATAGATAGTGGTTGCCGGTACAGTACCTTGGTTAGAGTGGAAACCATAGAAACAGATTACGACACATACCTATCCGCTATTGCTATAAATCTCATATAAAATATACCACTCGACAAATAAAATAAAAAATATGTTTTTAAAATTCCCTCAGCGGCATTCGATGGAGAGTGTTGATTTATCGGAAAGCATACTATTTTCCAAAGAATTCAATAAACGACAGGTAATATCTGCAAGTAGATAGTATTAAGAAATGCTGGAATTCTGTTTTTCAATGGGGTTATACGAAGTAGTTTTCCACCGGAGATCCGCGGCACCCGGGTGATCCGCAAGGGCATTGGCGTAGCATCCACCCCCGCAACCCCCGCGGGGGGGGGGGGGGCACAGCGCAAAGGGGCCCAAACGGTTAGAATTTAGAAATTTAAGCCGCAAAACCAGTAATGCACATCTTATTACGTCGATGTTAGTTCTGCTCAAATCGTTTTGTTACGTAACAATGCCAGGGAGTCGTCGATTTTTGGCGTCTTGTGGTTTGATCGCACCGGCAAAATTACGAAGGCTGTCAGAATGATGTCGAAAGCAAAACCTCTCAGTGGCGCACAGAAACGCAGAAAAAGGGCAGAAGAGGAAGCACGTATGAAAAAAAAAAGTAATCAAGATAAACGGCAAATTTTAGGTTACCATTGCCTTTTAATAGCGACATGTTATGCTTTTTGACGAAATAAAAAAAACGTTGATTTACCTTATGTCCGAGAGTTTTTAGGTCATTTCCAAAAATATTTTTGCGGGGGGGCCCACGAGAGTCTTGCTACGCCACTGCGCAAGGGTATATATTGTTTAAATATAACCAAATACCTATTAATTAAACTTGCTGCACTTTAGAGATCATTTTTTTGCTAGTACTAGATTTGCTTTTATATATTTATTGTTTATACCACAGGTCGGCAACTTTCAGCAAATAAAGAGCCATTTGGCATCGTTTCCGTCAAGCTCAAATCACCTCGGAGCCGCAACATCGACTCTAATGTCAATGGCTTATACAACTCCCGGAAAACCTTCAGTGCGTTTATTTTATTATGAAAATTGAAGAATTAAACTGCTTCAGATGACAAAAAATGCTGTAACCACTTTGATTCACGGGAGCCAAAGCTCCGAGAACAAAGATCCGCATTGCCGATCGCTAGAAAATAAAAGACAGCTTAGCGATTGCACAGGGGTTCATCGAACTCCTTGGAATGTTTCATTACGGATTTCTTTCCATCCAAAATGTCGAAAACCACGCAACGTTTTAAGTTACTTGTACGTATCGCAGCAGTATCTTGTAGTAAAGTAATGTACGTTGTCATGGTAATATTATTAATCAGAAATCTCCGTATTTACTAAAATGTATTGGGTAATTAATCTAATCTCAACGCTGTATCAGCGTTGTGGGTGTCGCTGCTTGAAAGCCGTTCGAAGTCCGTCGCGACCGCTGTCACAAAATTAATTAAGTTAGTTGATTATTTTCTGATATCCGCCATATATTTCGTGATGTGTATAAATTGTGTTGACGAATAAATGATAATCTTTTGGTCGAATGAAATGCTCATTCTACCACACCGCGGTAAACGTGGGGTTCGAGCGCATTCTAAGACGCAAACCGCAACGTTCTAACTACTAAAACATCTTACGTGAATTTTCATTCCGGTATCTCCATCTTCATTCCTCTCTCCCTGTTTCCTGTTTTCCATATTTCCTTCATTTCCTTCCTCTTCAGTCACTGCTTCTACCACCGATTCCAGTCCAGTTACATCCGGCATTTTCAGCTATTTCTCTTTTTCAGGTTTCCAAGGCATAACTGGTATTAGCAGACTGTTTAGAACGCTGAAAAAAGTTTTCATATTTAATGCGGGGAAAGAAACGAATAAGACGGCTTAATATTTGTCGAACACCTCTCTCGTTCGGCTACAAGCCAAACACATAACTGGGAATAGAACACAAGTCAATCATTGCTATTGAATATACTTTCAATGAATGTTTTATTTGCATTTCACTCCGAACCAGCTCTGTACAAGCAGCCAAGTAATGCATCATGCTTATGCATGTTTTTTTTTTATAAGCAAATGTCAAACCACCTCCGACTCAAACTTAGCTTTCTAGAAGTATTGATACTTTAAAAGCGAATGAGAACTATTAAATCTCATACCAAACATAACTATAATTATAAATGAGCTTGCGCCAAAACAAATCTTGTACAAATGCATATATATGCTATATATATACTAAACGACTTGCTTTACGCATTTTTTAATAGTTTAATGTGTGCAACCTGTGGCCCGCGGGCCAAATGCGCCTCTCAAGGAAATTTATGCGGCCCACGGAGAAGTGAACAACGCATGTCATAAGATCAATACCCAAAATTGTTGTGCGTGCAACTACTACAAAGCCTATGTTAAATAAAGGTGCGGCCGCAGTTTCACCCAGTTATTTGAATCTGGCCCTCCTGTATTAAAAGTTGCGCACACTCGATCTAGTTGAAACACCTGAATACTAAAATCGCATCAAATTTCTAAACTTCATTCCAAATATATTTATAACTCGAAACGAGGTCCTGGACCTTCTCACCGTGTTTAATGATAATATGATCCTAACACAGAAATTTAAAATATGTTAAAGAAATAACAAATAAAATCCCCGCTCTCCGAATAAATCTCATCCGAATTGTATACATCAGACAGAGCTCCCCAATTTTTTTCAACCCTCTTTCTCATAAATATAATCCTGGACGACTTTTCACGCTTTCCTGCGCCTCCATTAATTTTATAAGGATATAGATTGGAATCGAAGCTTTGCTATTTCAATGGCGAATAGCAGAGAAAATTTTTGACGAAATATAAATATTATATAATACTAAATAACTTTTGGGACCTTCTTTCAATATTGATCTAATCATGTATTATTCGGGCATTTCGAAAATAATAGTTCTCAACGAATTAGTTGCCGCTTGTCTAAAACCTTATCTGAAGTGAAAATCATAGTAGCGTCTCATAACAAAATACCCCAGAATTTCCCTCCCCAGCAAAATACATATATGAAATGTACTGCCTATATGCTCACTGAACCGGCCTTTCCACTTCTGTGTAAGGAAACCACTACGCAATACTTCAGACCGCGTCAGTGAAAGCCACTTCAGATCTACTTCAAGTTATTTCATTTAGAGAGCTGGAACCATTTCTGCGCTGTGAAAGCTATGAAGTCTATTTTTATCGCTTCGAAGGCTGTAGGTTGGCTAAGGTAGGATTTACATTTATTCCGGAAAAAAAGTCGATAAGACAGCTTGATCATATGGAGAACCACGCCCTCTCGTCCGGTTATACCAGTCCATGTCGGATATGGGATTAGTTAACCAGTTATTTGTTTCAGATGTATGGAATTAATATTGAGATGGCCGTAACTTACCAGCGGATCTAACCAAGAATTTTTCGAATATGGTTAATTTAGAAATTGCAAAACTTGCAACGGCAATCGCCCCATGATTCCTTTTATTTGAACTCGCGCAGTGAATGTACCGAACGAGTGGTCTCCAACCTTTTTAGATTCATTCATCCCTCCATGTGCATTAAAACTACTTTATTTGTTCACTCCTTAATGGATTCTTATCCAGTGTTATGCGCAAGTTACTCTCCCGCTTTTGTATGGTTGAAGTAGTCTATAATGTGTGCATAAATAAGTATTATAGCAATAATAAGAAACTAAACGAGAATATCGATTGGAGACCGAAGGCTTATCGATCGAAACTGCGGTTTCGATTCATGACTCTATAGTGACACCGCGTGTCCCATCACCAACTAATTAATAATTCGCTAATTATACGACATAATTCATCCAAAATCAATAAGCTTCTGGATCCGAGATATGATGAATGCACATGCAAAATTTGATTTAACCACGCCTTCGTGAGATATCGCGTGCATCTAACAGACAAACAAACGAATACCTATCAACATACTTACCGATCTGAAGATCGATAAGTAATAATATTAGTAATGCCACAGCAAATACCGAGCAAAATTTCTTCCCAAGGACGACAAAAATGTTGGTAAAGGTGGTGCTAACTGTACGATATACAAACACTACAAGGGCCCGCATCTAAGATTTTCGAAACACGGGTTAAAATCTAACGTCGAAATTCCCGCGCGGCTTTTAAAATAGTCGCTTTTCTAGCGCTTTGTAATTAGTATTCACTAATTAAGAGCAACTGCTTGTCTAGATTCTTGTGATGAGAGAATTGTAACTACTCGCCAACCCTAAGTCAATTGCTCAAACTACGGCTTCATAAGACGTCTTTCTGAAAGTCAGACTCGTAAATCCAATACGACTGTGTACATTAGCCCACATATCGCTTTCGTTTATTGTGGCATCATCAGCCATATATAAGCCGCACGTAAAACGATGATAATATCATCGGACCATACATGGGTGAAGCCACTTCCAATACTAAACGTCACAAAGGAGTGATTGTGTGTTCACAAAGCGTTACTTTATTTGACAACAATGAAGCTCTTATCTCTAACCTTTGTTGTTTCCAAGGACGCTCGCTCGCACCTCGACGAAACTGTCAATCAAGTTAGGCTTGGGCTGATCGAATCATTCGAAAACTAACCAGGTAAAAAAAACCGAAGATTTTTTCCGAATCTATTCGAATATTCGAACGCCCGATCACACCTCGACGAAACTGTCAATCAAGTTAGGCTTAGCAGGTCGAATGATTCGAATATCCAAATTCGAACCAGATTTTAGAAATCGAATGGGATATCTTGTGCTGAATGTTTTCGAATATTCGAACTCGCTTTCCTGGGCCTGGACAAAAACGTTTTCTATCCTATTTTGCTGAATATTGGAAAACAAACTAAATCGAATCCTTTTGCCGAATCGAATTCTTTCTTAATTAAACTGTCAATCGTGTTATAATAAAGCAGCGATTGTAAACGAATCGAATTTTTCTGTCAATTTGAATTTTTCCTTCCCAATCTCCCCCGCGACTAGACCCAATTTAATACGAATGCCAGTAATACCTATTCCTCGTCCAATGGTGAGTTGGCAGTGTCAAATCGAATGATTCCGTTGGAAGATCCGTATTATTGGCTGCTTGTCCATAGTCTTGTTCGGAGTGAAAAAAATTCAAAATAAGAAAACTTGTACTCTATAATTCAGAGCTACTCAACCTGGTGGGCCACGGTCCGAATCCGGACCTTTCGACTATTGGATTCGGACCGCATCGAATTCTTTATTTTAAACTTTCATTTTATAAAATGACTTCTATTGTTTTGAATATATATGAAAATAACTATAACACCGTAATAAACAATCTTGCTTAGCTAATATTCATTAGCCGGTCGAGTAAGTGCGCGTTCAAGGATGCCGAAATATAATTTCTGGAAACACCGGACCCAAATAATTTTGAAGTTTTGTATGTGGATCTTCCGTAAAAATAGTTTGAGTAGCTAGCCCTGCTCTATATTATAGCCAATTTTATGTATAAAAAAGAAAACTTGTAAAATTACCTTGAAACTCCAGTCACGTAAGAATCAGAGATACGGCGACATTCTTTTTATCCTCCGGGATATACCTGCATTAATTAAATTACTAAAATCTTAAAAAAAACGGTTAATTTTTCTTAAAAATAATAAAATATTAATTATCTTATTCTGTGTTCAACAAAATTCCAATAAACGCCGATTGTTTATGATATCATAAAGATTCTTCTCTTCGTTGGATTGCCATTGTTCTCAAACAATAGGATTTAGTCTTCGATAGTTTTGTGTTTCCTAGCGCGAACGCATACAAAATAACGAAATTGATCAATACGTCTGTTGAAGCCGAAATGAAGTTCATTTTTATTTCATAAGCCAATTCCAGATGAAGTCAAGAAATTTGTTAAAAATACGGCCAGAATGATTTAAAACGATCTCAAGGGCTACGCGGATTAAATAACATTTTCAAGTCCAATTCGTTCGACTAAAGATCCCAAGCGTAAAAAGTAGGTTATGAGCAAAGTCAAGGGTGGGCAACATTTTTTTGTCACATATAAATAACAATCAATTGGAATCAAACATTAAATATTGATCAGACTCTTATCATATCGTCGCGGACGCCCTGTGTAGCTATACCGTACCCCAGTTTGGGAAACCCTGTCCTAGATACGCCACTGCGTCTTCGTCAGCATGGTCATTGGAAAATTGAATGTGGAAAAGAAATTTCCGATTTCGAGTTCCTGATGAATAGTAACTCAGATCTATGACGGCGACTCGACGGCGCTCTTGTCCGGCGCCTTGTTTGGAACGAAACTATTAAATACTCTTCAAATTTCACTCGGCTACTTGTTTGAATCACTTGGAAAATCAAATAAATTTTTCAAATACTTTCTTAAGTTCTCGAAACACGAGAACAAAAGAAATTGTATCTGTGCAAACGACGTTTACAAGCGTTTAAATGCCTTCGACTATTCGCGGTAGAGTTTTAAGTTGGGTCCGTGTTGGACCAGCTCTGAAATAGATTTTGGAACACGCTAACAAAATTATCATCCAACTTCAAGAGACGAGTTCTTTATACCTGAGTAAGCGCACCTAATTTACCTCAGAAATGAGTATCCCGTACTTTTGAGTGAGTGCGTCTCACTTTGTTCAGAAATGAGTTTATTATACCTGAGTAAGCGCACCTAATTTTGCTCTCAGCAAATTATCTAAGCAATAGCTCGTACGACGCAATACTCAAACGCCTGTTCTCTGTGACTATGTCATCACAAACAAGTTTATTATTGTTTCACGCTCGAATAAGTCTTCAAAGCCAGCTACTCATCTTATGCCATGCCTAGCCAAGCGTTTTAAATCCGATTATACGGTAACCTAGGTTACGGCACTTCTGTCCGATTGAAATCCGTAAACTAAATATTGATTCAGATGGCTGTGTAAACTCACCGAGCAAATATTTTTGTTCCTGGTCGAAAATTGAAAGATGAGAGTACAATTGTGGTCGGAGTCGCATTTTCGAATTATCCGGATCCGGTTGTCGATTTGTTATGCTTTGAAGAAGTAGTCGACAATGTAAATCGCTCACGAATAAAGTAAAATATTGTCGGAAAATACGGACGAGTTTTTGTATCACTGGAAATAGACTTTCAAAAAACATTAAAGGGCTACGCCTATGCTTCGTTCGAGATTCTAAACGGTCCGATCGAAAAATCGCCACCGAGGCCATTCTCCTAATACAATGCAATTTATCGCGATAAAAATTACCGGCGTTTCATCATTTTCTGTTGTTTCTCTGCGCACATCTTTGTCCTTTACATATCCAGCAATTTTTGAAGAGACCTAAAAAGAGAGATTTAGTGTACGAATACTACTCCTAAGAAGGCCCTTTATATATGGTCACTGATAAATAGGTTTATGTATAGAGATACTACTATCTAATAGAAAACGGAATTTTTCCGGCGTTGTCCGCCGAATTTAATAAACCATGGGTGAGGTGAGGGCATGGAATTTCAACCCAAGTTGCGTGATCTGGGATTCCAACATTGCTGAGTCTAAAGCTTTAACCATTCGCTGGACCCACTGGAGTTACCATAATTGTCTGTACTGTTTCAGGTATGGAGTATGTGAACCAAGATGGTGGATACCGGAACGTAGTACGTGTACCAGGTTAGGGTAAGGCCATAATTCCAGGTATAAATAGTGCAGGAGTCATTTGGATAGTCCTCGAACTCGTAATATAACCGAAATAAGGTATAATGGAATAAAATTATGCCCTAACCCTAACCGGGTACACGTTCTACTTTCCGGTGTCCGTCATCTTGGTTCATATACTTCGGGAGTACCCTGTTTCTTAACTAATTATCTAATCGGGAAAAAATTCGCTTTTATGACAGAAGCCAATCGAAACATGATAACATGCGAAAATGAAGTCTGTTCTTCAGTTTTTTCTTTCCTAACAAGGCTCAGTACAAGCTGATATGTAATGATAAGCTGTATTTAATAAAAGATATGCTGTATTTAAAAGCAACAGAATCTTTTCATTTTGTCCGTAAATTATAACACGCGGCAATGAATAAGCTTCGCCTATTAAAAAAAGGCATTGATCTGTTTGTCGCTGAGTAGAACGAAAAAACATGATAAATACAACAAGGGCCTTAGGTAATGGCACCCGTGGGCCACCCACTTCTATTAACCGCACTCTAATTCTTGGCAAATTATTAAATTCAATCATTATGAAATGAAAGATCAGCGTGTTTATTCTGTACACACAAAGTTAAGCCAATTTTTATTTCAATCAAGATTTACATCTGGTTAAAAGGTAATGAGTAAAAGGGAACTACTATGATAGACTAGAAACTAGATAGACAGAAAATATTTCAGTTTGAAATTTGCTCTATAGCCCCACCATCCGGGTTCTCAAGAATTTTCAACAAATGGTATTTTTATGTGAGTCGATACAGTGATATGACCAACACTGGGTAAAAGTACCCAACCCTAAGCCGCGAGTCATCCATTTCTTGAGTCGAGCTAGTCTCGAGTCATAAGTCGCGTTAATTAGTTTCACTGGGGATTGGATGAGTACGAGTCATTTTATTAGGATTCGAGTCTTCAATAATTGTTGACTTGAGTTGCTGACTCGATTACAGCGCATGTTACTTCAACAGAAGCCTAGAATCGAATGTTTTCGTAAGTAAATTAACAAAAATACAGATCGCCTAATAAAGAACGCGTGTATATTAACAACAGGAGCAAGCAAGTCTCCGCTCACAAAGTAGCGCGATCGCGATGGCCAGAAAAGAGTCCAAGGTGAATTGGGGTATAATGACGTATTCATATAATGATGTCTTTTTTATATTATGACGTTACTTTTTGTTCTTTCAGAGTTCTCCTTCATGACGCCAGTAAAGTGATTTGTATCGAAACTGATTTAAATGTCCGATTGCGGCCATGGCAAGTATATAGCCTAAATGCGCTCTCTCCATGGTTGACTGAAGATATTTAAAGATTGTTGTTCAATTGAGCTACTTGTACGTTAATATTTAAGTAAAAATACTAGTTTCAATTACTTCCAATCTGAAAATTTATTTTATTGAATTTTATTAAATATTTTACAAATAAAACTGCACGCGCTGTCTTCTGAATGTGAGCCATTGTTTTCCCAACTTGGAGACGCCACTGACTTTAGTTTTCATTTTCGCGAAGAAAACGTAAATTATTTATTGATTCATTATGCCGAGAGAGTTATGTAAATTGAATATGTTTGAAATTCAGATTATCTTACCGAAGGGAATATTACGTTTCTAAGTCCGTGAGATGGAAATAATTAACTAGCAGAGGGCTTCAGGGTTGACGCATCGCGCTAAACGTCAGAAATAAAACTAATCCCATACCCGACATGAACTGGCAACTGGGCGAGTTGCCGTGGTATACCATACGATTAAGCGGTCTTGATTTCTTTTGTAATACTTTACCACAAAACAAACTCCGTTGTTACACACAAATCATTGTACAGATAAACATTTTGTTTCATGCATTGGAATTCGGGTGTCCTGAAAAATGCGTACCAAGATGGCGGACACCGGAACGTAGTTTGTGTACCAAGTTAGGGTTAGGACATAATTTTGTCCAAATTTCCCTTATTTGAGTTCTATTACGAGTTCGTGGACTAGCCAAGTGACTTCCGTAGTATTTGTACATAACTGGCCTAGCCCTAACCTGGTACACAAACTACACATACTAGTGATACTACGTTCGGGTCTCCGACATCTTGGTACGCATACTTCAGGAGAACCGGAATTCGAGGGGTCACGAAACCATTTGCTTACCTGCCGCAGGTGTATTCATGCCTACATCGAAGTCATATATCTGGGACTATCGTGTGCGCTGCATCAACTGTTGAATGTGTGGATATTTGTGCGAATGTCGGCAGATAACTATGCAATCGGTGATAAGACGCGCAAGATATTTTTAAGGAGTGGAATCCGCAAACCAAATTTCTGACTGTCAGTATAGACTATAGAGGACTTCCACTGGTCACGTGACTTTGTTTACTGGACCGCAAAAAACAAAAACGTCCATGTTGGCTCCTGTCAGTTGCAAGTCGGATTATACGTTTCCGTTTTGTTTGGCTGTTTGAAAATGGTTATTTTCGTATTGTTTCCGTTGGCTGTACGTATAGTATAGACAACGAAATGGATTTTCAGTAATATTCCACTGTTTCAAAAGATCCGGAACGTCGCCGGCGGTCGTGCAAACCACCCTCAGTGGGAGGAGAGCTGCAATCCTCCCGCACATAACTATCCCCGCATGGGATTGGAACCTGTGAAACTACCAGGGAAATCAGAGATGCGGTGGCGAGGGTATTCCTAGATGGCGAATTCAATTGAATTCTGGTTATTTTTCGCGATGAGCACTGGCGTTAAACTTAGTTATCTATTCAACTTTTCACACTTACTAATTAGATTACCCTCTAACTTGGGAAACAATACCTTATGGCAATTGATTGATTAATTCCTTACAGTCAAGTCTGCCAAGTAGTCCTACGCCTAGGCCTACCAATAACAGTAGTTTGTCATCTGCTTTCCATTGAAATGAGGGGAGCTTATGAATATTTAAAGAAATCGATAACGGCACATTCTCATTCACACATCAACGAAGTGCTGTCCGCAAACAGTGAAACACAAGAGAGATGACTTTCTGGACTTGACACCAAGCAGTCCTGCCGATAGATGATATTCACATTGCGCGAGCGTCCAGATCTTTTGAAAACAGTGGACTATAACTGAAGATCCATTTCGTACTTGTACTATACGTACAGCCCACGGAACAATACGAAATAACCATCTTCAACAGCCAAACAAAACGGAAAAGTATAATCCGACTGCAACTGACAGGAGCCAAATGGACGTTTTTGTTTTTTTTTGCCGTCCAGTTAAACAAAGTCACGTGACCCGTGCAAGTCTTCTTTTTGGCCGTTTTATCTTCTGGTTTACTGTTTATGAATTTATAAAATATTGTTCATTAGTTCTTAACATTTTATGTGTGCTATGAAAATTTGAAATAAATAAATATATCACATTTTCGTCAAAAATCGACAAGTTTCTACCCAAGGTTAGAAAAGAAATTATTTCCGATTCGACGGCACTGTGTTTAATAATCTGGTTTTACGTAAAAAATAAATATAAGAAACTACAACAACACGTATTGAGAACAACATAAAACAATTTGGGAAAACAACACTCGGTTTCAAGAACTTTAAAATTTAGATTTTTCCCAAGAAATCTCTTTCGCGGTTGAGTGACTCTAAGTTGCTGAAGGACGTCACAAAATTCACGATCTGCGTTGGTAACGGGCTGTCGCAGTTTTCGAACCGGCATTATGTTTGTTTTATTTAAAGTTATGCTGTAATAAACCCTCTCTTACTTAAATTAATTCATGTTTACGTTCAGAAATGATTTTTTCAGTTATTTAATTAATTTATTGTTGTGTGGACGGCACCCGTAATGTCCCGGTCTGAATAAATGTAAGTAACACCCGTGGTTACGTCAGTCGTCGCGATGGACGCTGTGATCGGTAACATGCGGACAACTATTGGAACCAGCGTGAGAAAAATCTTCTCAAATAACCCTGGGAATAAAAATATTAATACAGACAAAGGCCTGAACAATGGACAGGTGAGTGTAAGATGTAAATATTAAAGTATCATTGACGCTTTTATTGTTCAAAATTTGTTATTGAGTCAGCGGCCTGTGCGAAAGCTCTTGTCAGTCTAGGTTTGGGCTCTAGTATACTGCTTGCATGAATGCTAACTGGCTGATGTATTTAGGATAGAACAGGACAGCTTAATCATATGATATTATGATGAACTATGACCTCTTTTCTGGTTTCCAGTGCATGTTGGATACCGTAAAAGCAGCATGGCACACTATACAGTACGGCACACTATACAGATCGGGTGACATTGTCTCGTTTCAGAGAAACCCATTTTACTAATGATCAGACACCCCTCCCTTAAGAGACGTCTGGACATTGTTGTCCCTCAATATCGGTAAAAATACAGTAAACTGAAGTTGCGCAAAATACTACAAAGAAGCGCAATCTAGCAACGTCATCATTGAATTCCTTAGGCAAAAATAATCCAATTTATCGAAGGAAAAAAAATTTTACCGTTGCATTTAAGCGTTTTTAGCAAAAACGGCAATTTTGGTCATGTGACGTCCGCGATTAATTTAGATTATTATTGAGACAAGCATGGCGCGATATGAAGCATCTGACATGGTCCCAGTCGCCCCTCGTTTGTGAGACACATCGAGTGTGTTTTATTGAGCCAAATGGAGGGAAATGGAGGGCGGAATGTGACGTCACTGGATTTCAATCTAAGCGCGCAGGCACACATTGGCCGTTCCTCGACGCAAACCTTGGCTTGGCGTGTTTCTCTCATTTTCAATATAGATAACATGGCGTGTGAACGATAATAAATGGATCAGAAAAAATAAAAATTACATTTTGATAACACCATATTATATCATAATTTAGCCGGAATCGGGATAGTGTTTTCGATAGCTTAAGTGGAAGCGGCGCTCTGCGCCGTTGAATAGAGGCCAGTCATTTACGGCAAAATTTCCGTTTTTTCAACAAAAAAATCGATTATGCTACAATAAAAATGCTGAGAATAGATGCACACATAACAGCGCTAGCTATAAAAATTGAAATTGGCAATATACGGCGCTTTTTAGTCAAGATATAGCCGTTTGAAATTTTTGTCTGAAGTTAGGCGCTTTTACGGTATAGAATTGGTGGGTCTCATGTAGTTTTGTACCCACTACTGCACTAGAACGTACTTCTAATGGGCGTAGCCTAACAGTTTTTTTACATGTCAATCTTAACCCCCATTTGACTACGCCATCCAAAAATTACGTCACTACGCCGTCACAATCACGTCATAGAGCTTGCCAAAGTATACCTAATGTTACGATCGCCCAAAATGGCATCTGCGCCTATGATCTCACTAACGGCAGCGATCTCATATCGGGATCTTGCGACGAGAAAACGAGAGAAATATCTTGTTCGATTTTGGGTGATTGTCAGCGCGTCTTAGATGAAAGTTTGTATAGTTTGACGGACTCTATTATGCGACGTAATTTTTGGATGACACAGTCAGCTGGGATTAACATATGCAAAAATTTGAATATTGAAGTACGAAACTACACTAGGCAAAATTAGTTAGCCATTCATTATGCATGGTAGCATGGACATGACACTGTGGTAATGGAGTAAGTCTTAACCAACTAGCAGTTATGTGAATCACTCTCCTATTATGTCCTCGACTTGAGAAATAAAACTGCTGCAATGACAGAGGTGATGTGCCATCCAACTTTAGTCAGGAGTTGAATGTAAATTTTTTCCAACCTATGTCTTACCCCATTCAGAATCATTCAAGCATGGATAGCCAATACAATTTATTTATCAACAGTTAATCTATTAACAAGACCTGTTGGTCCATCAGTGGCAATAACGTTGTTATGTACTTTATAGGACGCTAAAATGTCACTGTGCCAGATCTGTGAAACTGAAAGCTGCGATGTTCCCTTCATTGTTCGAGATATTTGCAAATTCATCTCTCAGAAATCAATCAAATTGGAAGGGATTTTCAGGTTTGACTTTTTTCAAGTTTTTTTTTATTGCGAGGTGGAAACTTTCACATTGGTATCCAGGGATGTCCAATTAGTGATTGGCGAAGTGAGTCATCTGTAGGACTGTGCATTTTCCAATTCTTGCTGATTTCAGAATTGAATATTTTTGGAATCAAATCTTAACTACTTGGAGCGTTATATAATTGTATTTGGCTTTTTTTATTGTATTGTGCCCTCGGACACATACAGTATTCAAAAATATAGACAGTTCTCTGAGTGTTCACACACTGTAAGGGACATATTTACCAATAACTCCCTATGAAGGAAAATGTGTCAGAATTGCACAATATTTACTCGCAATGCCCAGCCCTAGCTATGAGTCATTCGAGTTCGAAATAGAATCAATCACTGAGTTAAGTCTTGCTGCTGGCATGGATGAACACTTTTAATAATTTATATGAGATGTGGGGGGGAATTTGGGTAGCCAACCCAAAACCATGGTGCTGTGTTGACTGTTGATACATTGCTACACCACAATACCCTTTCGCTTTGTCATTCTCTCAAAATTTTAGAATGTCATTTCACTATTCAAACATCCGGTAGCGTGGCACGCCGGGACCTACACCTACGATTGGAAATGTTACTTGCGCGTCACTAAATCCACCCTTCGCATTCTGGGAGAACCATTATCACATAGAAGCTTATTAATTGTTTGTTTTCGCTGCAAGTTGCGACTATCGTACCTCTCAAATAATTATCATTTTGTCGAAGAAAACATGTGTTTAGAAAACTGTTGGCCATTTGACGAGTTATCTCCATTATTCATGTCACTTCTAATCTCTGATGAAAGGTGTCTGGAAATGAATGACATCAAGTAGCAGCCAGCAAAACCTAAATCATTATTAATTTCATTTCGAACTAGATTCATGTCTCGTGACATTTACTCTATATCAGGGGCGGGTAGGATTTTTGGACCAGGGGCCATGTAAGTGTGACGTAAAAAGTTACATTTATGCACAATATTCACAGTGATACAAAAGCAAAAGTGGAAATAATAAATCTTGTTTTTTTAATCACAATAGCAACAAATTCCTTGAGCTACTTTTTAGCTATTACATTGAAATTTGGTTTTAGTTTGGTTGTGGCAGCATCAGCCGGGCCAGATTAAAGTACCCGACAGGCCTGATTTGGCCCGCGGGCCGTAGTGTCTGCTCTACATAGTACAGAATAATATGAACAGTAAAATGCCATAATATATTGTAATAATGACAGTCAAGACTAGCATTTAGTCTGTTTTGCTCTGTTTTGCGTTATTGTTTCCTCAGCTTCCCTCCCTCATATGATTCTTCTTAAATGCATCATCATATTAACAGGGTCAGCGCTCCAGTTCGGCAAATAAACGAACTGAGGGATTTATACGAGTCAAATACAAACCTAAGAGATGATATGCTACTCAACCAGGAAGTTACTGAGGTCACAGGTCATGCTGCGGCGGGATTGTTGAAGCAATTTTTCAGGCACCTCACAGAACCGCTCATCCATGGAGAAATTCTTCAGGTTTTTCTCGATAGTAAGACTATCTCCGACAAAGATTTCTGTGAAAAAGTCAGGTGAAAGCCTTGGAATATGCAATTTTAAACCAATAGGATTTGCTTTTGACTTGGTAATCAGTTTGTAGTTTGCAATGGTCTAGTGCAATAGTTCTCAAAATTTTTTAGTCACGCCTTCATTAGAACTTGTCAAGTCTCGCGCCTACCTCAAAACTAACTAGCTAACAATATGCTACAAATAACAGATAGTAGGGCTAAAGTATGTTTTATTCAGAAAAGCTATAAAAATACATGGATGGAATCGCAATCTCTAAACAATAAACAAATCCAAATATCCAAAATAAAGTAGGCAAGATCAAATCCAACTCATATTTTTATTTTTAATTAGCTTCAAGCCCCACAAACAATTGTCCACGTACCCTCTTGTGGGTTGCGCCCCACGCCTGATAACCACTGGTCTAACGCCGTTTAGCATTTTAGACTTGACTGAGTTGAAATTTCTGGTTCAGAACCAACGCCCACTATCTTTCCCAGGGTGTAATATGAGAAGCAGGCAAGGCCGACAGGGAAGATTATGCTTTCAAAAATTGTATTCTTTTAGATATCGTTAGATATTATTTGGCCTTGTTTTGGAAAGATGCGAACAAGGTCTTGTAAAAAAATAATTGCCTGTCTGTCACGACTTCCCCACCATCAAGTCCATGTATTTGAAACAAATGCCTGCCTAACTATTCCCATATTTGACATGCAATGGTTGCCGAACGAGAGTTCATAGTTCGTCACATTTTTATAGCGTCCTATATCGACATGCCGGACCTCCTAAAGTATGCGCACCAAGATGGCGCACAACCTGAACTCTGGTTGTGTACCAGGTTAGGGTTCAGGTTGTGCGACATCTCTGTTCACATACTTCAGGAGTACCGACATTCCTCTCCCTGGTATAACTATAATATTGCTTGCTGTTCCAATCTTGGATGTGCTTATTCCTTAATACAATAAATGCACTCCAAATTTCATTAATTACACTCATTAATGATCAAGTGCACTCAAAGAGTACATTGTGGGGCAATTCAAAGGCTGAGAGCTGTTTATTTTTGAATACTGATACTTATTATTAATCCAAAATCCCCACAAATATTTCTGTGGCGAAGAATAACACGAATATTGTTATTCAGTATTTGATATTATTCTATATTGCCAATCCTTCCATCATCTGACCCAGGTAATATTGAGTGACAAAGATTTAATTTTTTTGTTCGTACAAATGTATAACGAGTTTTAAATGAACTTTTAATTGGCTATGAATTCCCAAAACCAGTGGAATACATATATTGTTATATAGTACCAGTGGTGCAGCCAGGGGGGGGGGGGATTGCCGGCTTTTGAATTTTTTTGAAAACTGAAAAGTTGCCAATAACGCGTGCAATTGCCTTTTGCTAAAATCACCGATCATCATCGTGACGTGTTATTCAGGCCGTGACGGCCCTCACGATGGCGTTTATTCTCTAAATCACAAATTTCCCACATATTTATGCCACGAAAACGATGATAAATATTTTATTTTTTTACTCGCACGGAATTATGAATCTGGTGAGAGTTATTATAAGTTCATCAGCAGTGAGATGCTAAAGACAAATGAAGGAGCTTTTCTGGGCATCGAAAATTGCAAAATTCTGTATATTATGTTTGTTCGGCATTTAGAAACAAATCGTTCCTAAAATCTAAGCATTGTAAATTGTGGCGGGATTTGCCTTTTTATCTATTACTTTCAAATTGACGTAGAAAATTTTGGTCTTAACATACAAGGTTGGGTACGCGACTTTTTCCCGGTTTGTGATGATATATAAGATAGTTAATCTAAAGTATTTTCGATCAATTTTTATTGTACTCAAATAAATTTTACTGATTTACGGATTTTTTAAAAGGTTTTGTCTTCAAAAAATAATCGAAGTGGCTGCATTGCGATTGAGCAGAGTCAGTGTTACAAGTACATCTCAAATTTATCGAATTCAACAAAGTAGCAAAAATACGGATTAAAACAATATATAATTGGGCGGTTTACCATACATTTTTATGTCCGCCAATTGCCGTGGGGTTTTAGAGTGTCTCTTGTTTTGCCGACGCAACCGCAGATTCAATTGAAGACAATTAAATTAATAAATCGAGACATTTCAATATGCCCGTATCGGACATTGATTGATAACTTCGCACAAATCATTATACGCTGAAAAGGCGGCTCTTTTAATGAGCGCGTAATCGTGGTGACTGTTACAGACAGCAATGGGAATTTCCAATTTTGAAACCCCCCCTTTTTGAAAATCCTGGCTGCACGCCTGTATGGGACATAGTAAAATTACTGATTTCAAAAAGAAATTGTTTGGAAATTTATCTATTCAATAAGCATCTCATACTTGATGGTCAGGAAAAATAGACATGACATTTTAGCCAATCAGTCCACAACAATACCATTTTCTGGGAAATCAAATTAATAATTTTTATGTTATATTTTTTCCTTTGCATCTACGAATCCCCATAGAGCAGGGTTTCCCAAGCTGTGGTCAGCGGAGACTGCAATGATATGAAATAATGTGATCGATCTTTATTGATTGATTTCAATCATTGTGGATTAAAATTTTATTGTCTTTTGCAACACCCTACATGTGTGAGGCAGCATTTTCTGCTCTTACCAATATGATGACAAAATACAGGTCGAGACTTGCTGTAGAGTCGGACCTACGAGTATTGTCACAAAATTGTCCTGAGAATCGATAAATTGTGCAGTGGAAAGCAACCTCATCCATCACAATGATGTCGCTTGTGTTGTAAATAAAGCGTTATCATTTCTTAGTGGTTAGGCACATAAATTGCTCAAAAAATTTGAGAAACCCGAACATATTAAAACATCTTATAGGCCTACACATCTTTATATGATTTCCTTATTTCTAGTCGCTGCATGGACAAATGGCCGCCGCCTCATAGATGCACTTTGACGTTCCTGCTAACGTTTCTCCACACTGTGGCACAAGAGAGTGAGAATAGGATGAGCGTCAATGGACTTGCAGTCGTGTTTGGCCCGAATGTTTTCAGATTACCTGATGGGGTAGAAGGACTGCAAGCCCAGGCTATTGCTAATCAGACTTTTGACAGGTGAGTGCCCAGTGGACTCGATTTGAATGGCCTTCTCCGTCGAAGGCTATTTATCGTCTTTTCATAGAGACAGTAAGTTAGGAACAGATTTTTGTTCCTCAATCGCCGTTTTGAAATTACCTTCGTAGAAAACCACCGAATCCTTGTTGTTTAGGACAGCTATACAAATGCCAATCCAGTGCTTTATATGGCAACCTAAGTTTACTTTATTACTTCACAAACAAATCCATCACAAATACTATGCTTTATTAATTAACTTAAACGTTAGCAGCATCTTAAACAAATGATAAGCACCAACAAAACATGACTCAAGTACGACTGATTTACGGCGTTAGGAATTAAGTGTTGGGAACACACTCACCACTGCTCTTCTGATTACCCTATGTGGGTTCACAGGTTCGAATAATTATGTACGAGAGGATTGCTGGACTCTTTGGTGCTGTGGGTTGGTTAAATTAACCACTGGTCGATTACGGCTTCAGTTACCATCAAGTCCGTGCATCTGAAATAAATAACTGGCTAATCCCATACCTGACATGGACTGGTAACCGGACGTGAGGCCGTGATTTGCCATATAACTAAGTCTTATTGCCTTTCCTCTCCCCCGGGATAAATCCTGTCCCACCGATGTTATCGCTTTTGTTTCCATGTAATTGAGTTTTTCTATATTTTCAGGTTGCTTTCATGCAGTCACATTTTGTCGAAAAAACAGACACCTGTTCTCAAAAAACGTGAACCTCCTCCCCGGCCTGCCCCGCCCGCTTTTCGTCCTTTACCCCCCACTCCACTTGAAGAATCTTTATTAAGTGGGGAAACTTGTGAGCAAAAAGAATCAGAAGTTTCAGTTGAAAAACCAGTTCCCGCAGTTCGTACTTCAATCGGAAACCTTAACAATGACAAAAAGCAAGCTTTGAATATAAATGCCATGAATCAATTTGAAGCCATGCCTTATATTGATGCCACACCAGACACTGGCGTTACAAATAATACTTTGGACAAATCTGACATTGTGCCTTGCAATGGTAGCGCTGCACAACCAGATGCCATGCCACAAAAAAATTTTGCCATGCCACAAATGACTGATGTCACAACAAATTACAAAATGGAGTTGCCAGAAAAATATGGTGACATGCCACAAAAAACAGTGGTTATGCCACGTACTGATGCCACACCAGCATTTATCGATTCCACGCAAATCTCTAAAAATTCATCAACATCATCAGAAGAAATTCCAGAAGAAATCTTGGAAACTTCAGAATCAATCGAGGAAGGAAAGAGTGAAAACAAAGCCGGGTTAGTATTGAATTTCATATTTACTCTCTGGGAGAGGAAAGCCAATAAGACAGCACACTCATGGCTAGCACCTTGTCTAGTTGCCAGTCCATGTCTGATATGGGAATATTCAATCAGTTATTTATTTCAGATGTTCAAGAAAGACAAAAATAAATAGCGGTTAAGTGAACTGGAAGTTTCAAATTGAATTTATATATTTTGAAATTTGAAATATTTATATCATTAGTTCCGATTTTTGAAACTTCCTTTGGGCAGATATTTCTTGGCAGTGGTATGGCGTCTCCAACATAAAAAAAAAGCTTTGGAGCTGGAGCCGGATTCAATGTGATTTCGAACTGGCCCTGGCCCTGCTTGTAACAAACTTGACAAGTAATCATGTTTGAGTAACCAAGTATAATTAATACGCATCACCAACTTTCCTCTTTCATCGTAACTGCTCAATTTTACTTAAATCCATATTCATAAATTTCCTATATTCCAGGCATTCACGCAACATTCTCGACAACATCATTCGACAAATAATACAAACAAGGTTATTTAATAGTACCGAGTCATCATCTGTCAGCGATGAAGCAGACTCAGCATTAAAAACCCATGATCTGTTGCCAGCGACAACTGCGGGGAGAGTTGCTGGCCCAAGAAATCGCCGACGTCCCGCTCGAACAAATCGACTTTTGAATAATGTACACCTAGAGGACGACAGTGGCGATGATGATGCTGTTGCCAAGGCAACAAACACAGAACAAAATAAAACCGATTATGACATCACTATTGAATCAGGGAATTGTGAAATGTCAAATTTGAAAAGTCCACAAACTGTTGCTGTCACTTCAACTTCGACCTCTGTTGCCACGGTGATGACCCCTGATTCAGGATGTATCGTTGAAGATTCAGATTACCCTCGGAACTCGAGTCCTATCAAATCTGAACTGGCAAGGCTTGATATTGGTCGAAGTTTAAGCCCGGTTTATATTCCTAAATTGGATTTACGTAATTCACTGGATGAGGAGGATATGTCTAAGGTTGGTTGTATTTGTTTTGGTTGTATTCAGAGGCCTAGCCAGGTGAGTGGTTTTGGGGGTCGAACCCCCCTCCCCCTCCTGAAATAAAAAATAAAAATAAAAGCATCTTTCTGTATCATACATAGCAATTTTTTTCATAACTTGAAATGCTTTTCCTCAAAACTCATGGAAACACACGATTTCCGGCGTTCGGATGGACCCCTAGCCGTTTCGATCCAACTTAGAAAATATAAATTTGAAATTTTGTGGCCACATTTGCATTTGTTCATACTGCATAGTTGTGGGGTCAGAACCTGGCATGTTTTCCTTAGATACGGAGCTTAAGTTTTTCAAACTATCTGCAGATTTGGCATTTCTGACAACCTATATTCAAGATTGAGTAAATTGTAAATGGCCCTATTCTGGAAACGTTGCGAATCATTTGGCGCTGGGGTGTGGCTCATTGTGCTAAGCGTTAGTGATACGCTCGCCACCGCACCTCTGATTACTCTGTGTGGGTTCGCATGTTCGAATCCTGTGCGACGATAGTTATGTGCGAGAGGATTACTAGATCCCTCGTCCCCGTAGGGTGGTTCACGTAACCGCTGGTTGGTTACGGCTTCCTCCACTATCAATTCCATGCTTCGGAAAACAAATAACCAACTAATCTGATACTCGACATGGAATGGTGAGGCCGTGGTCTGCCATATGGTTAAGCTTATCAGCTTTTCTCTTCCTCTGGTTAAAATATGTAAATCCTAATTTGAAATTCAAGGGAGTGGAATTTCTGAATTTTTTAATAAATATGGAAACCAAAGTTTTTTTTAAATTCTTTCATTAAAATCATTGATTGCTTGACCAGAACCATATTATCTGCTTTTACAGTTCAAAGACTCCCTGCTACCATCTACTGGTGACATTGTTCCACAGCTTGACCTATCTTCGGTGACAGAAACAGTCGACAATGCAGACGATCTCAAACCTTTAAAAAAGAGGGAGCTAGACGCACAAAAATTATCCGAGACCAGTACACCACCTAAAGCAACCGCTAAGCATGCCGCTACGAAACATGGTGCAAGAAAAAAGAAGAAAAGGTCTTCCCATAATCATCAGGTAAATATGCAGCATTATTCAATCAGTTCAGGTATTGATATTTTGACAATTGGGGTCACTATTTTCACCAAAAAAATTTTGACAAGAATTTGCTCTAAGCAAGGTCTTTGGCACTCACTCAGAAGTAAAAAAGACACAACTTTGGGCTAAGTTACTGATACTGACTAATTAACTACTAGACAAATTGCTTTGAAGTTTTAAGTGATTGAAGATTGTTGTTGCCACTAGAAAGCTATTACTTTAAACTTTTTGTGGACTCTATGGGATTCATTTTTTTTGTGTGCGATATTGCCATCATAATTAGAAATTATTGTCGGTTTGCATTAGTTGCTATCTGATGGTAGGCGAGGTCGTGAACACAGTGTTACCACTAGTCTACTGTGTCAGATTGCATACCCGTACTACTTCATTTTAGCTTTCGTGTCCATATATCTGAGTATTGCTCTACTGTTCTTAAAATCAATTATTTAAAATGTCAAATATATATTCCAATATATTGAGCAGGGGTGAGCAAAGTTTTTGAACCAATGGCCTAAAATTTTGCCCACCTAGACTGGCGGCCATGTTAGTGTGCCGTAAAAAGTGAGATTTTAAGAAAAATATTTACAGTTTTACAAGGCTAAGGTGGAAAACAATCAGCCTCATGCCAAAATCAAATTTAATGTAACCTCTACAAATTCATTGAGCTATTTTTAGCTAAAACTTCAAAACTCGATTTAGGTTTGAGTGTGGCAGCATCAGGCAGGCCAGATTGAATTACCCAACGAGCCTGATTTGGCCCACGGGCCGTACTTTGCCCGTGTCTGATTTTGAGTATATATATGTAATTTGAAGGTGTTTTTTACACTTCCAAGTCCAACGAAATTATTATAAATCATCTATAATCGAGAATTGAAAATACCGAGATAAATAAATTTAAATATTCCATTGGTCTTAGACACTCGCTGACCTATTGCAAAGCAAACAAAACTGCATAACTTTATTTACTGAATACATTCATATTAATGTTTTTAAAATATAAAATAAATCCTCGACCCGTTCTTGTTCAATGAATAACAAATATAAGTCGATGTTTATTCAACAAGTCAGATTCAGAATTATTTCATGTCCACGGATGTATGTTGAACAATGACTGTTATATGGGTTTGCTTTGTGGCAATTAGTCAAACGTTGTTAGTTGTGATTAGCACAGTTACGGGTGTGCCATACTTTGAAGTGTGGCGATTCTTTATAGGCAGAAATTAATGTGGCAGAAATTAGATGTGCATATTTGGGTTTTTGCATATAACCTGCCAATAAGTCAGGGTAGTAAAATCGCATCAACATCGGAATCTCAAATTACCATGCAATGCTATTTGAGCGGTCGCGCGTCTGCGCATTGGTTAAAATAGCCTATAATGACGTTTTCTTGTAGCATAATATTCATTCCATAATAACTACGAGAATTCAAACTGTCTTTAAATTTTAATTTAATTGTGTTCAACTCGCGATTGCGTGCACCATAAAAGAACATTACCTAATACATAATAAGGCGACACCAAAAAATGAAAATTATCATACTCACCTAATAGGACGACCCCCCAAAATCAGGCCAAAAATTTGGGTCTAGAAAAGCGACTTATTCATTCGCTGGGAAATACGGTGATTGAATAATTGATTAAATATATTCTGAATGAAAATGTTCTTGGCCATTGTTTTCAAAAAAGTATTCTTAATAAGTTAGAGAACAACTACTGAATATTAAATATAATTTTTTTTGAAGGCATGGTTCATTGTGGATGTCTACCAACACACCAGATGTTTTAATTTATTTACGGCACAAACATTCCATTTCCCACACGTATAATATAACGATTTATATATATTGTTCCGTAACGCTTTGTTCCGATATCATGTTTCATCACGCTGACATACCGATATTTTCCCATGTGTATTGCGTCTACGCAGAAGAATGCAGAGCTTGAAATTCCCTTTTATTACACTTTCATCCGATCTAAGTAATCTGCTATTATGAATAGGCTACATCAAAAATTTTGATTATGAAATATATTATTTTTATAAATTGTAATTGCAAAACATGAATTCTCACTTAATTACCCTTTTGGGAAAAAACAGCCACATGTAATGGGTTAACTGAATAAAAATATAGTATTATCATGGGTATTCCCGTAATATGTGTACCAGGTTAGGGTTAGACCATAATTTTATTCTGATTTTCCTTATTTTGATTTTATTAGGAGTTCGGGGACTGTCTGTGTTAGCCAAGTGAATATTTCCCTAACCATAAGTTTCAGTCCCTTTACACAACTTGATGTAAAGTAGGTAACAAAATAGTTACCTCCATATTGGTACACTGAACACACACTCCTGGAGCGCCGATTCATGTTTTCACCTCATAAAAACCCCTTTATCACAAAAACAGTATTTTGAAATTCCTTCTGTTGTTTTATCGAACTTGATAACTTGGACATTCCTATTGCTAGTTGCTCATGTGTGACCGCAGAGCTCAAAACCAAAGGTATATTCATACAACTTTATGTTTGTTTCATTGCGTAACAAACATCCTTTAAATTCATGGATTTTTTTACTGTGGCTCATGGCTCGAAATAAGCGAGATATGTAGTACTATATATATTTGTGGTTTTTTTGGACTTTTACTGCTAGTTGTTCATGTATGACCGCAGACTCCAAAACCAAAGGTATATTCATACAACTCTAGGTTCGTTTCCTTGCATAACAAACATCTTAACAAACAATCGATGAGTATCCCACTATTCCCCTGTTTATTATGGATCGTTGATTCACTCATATGTGACTGCTGAGCTTAAATTAAGAAGGAAATATTAGTCAATGATCCTTCACATAGTTGAAAGTTCCTATCATTAGGCAATGACCATCTTCTATATCAGTCCATGAATACTTAACTATTCCCCTGTGCATTATTGTGTGACCGCAGGGCTTAAAATAAGAAGGTATTTCAGTGTTTCTCAAGACAACCCTAGGTTCCCATTATTGCGCAACAAGCAACTTCTATAACACTTAATGAATACTCCCCTGTGTATTATTGTTCGTCACTCACTCATGTGTGACTGCAGAGCTTAAAATGAGAGATTACATACTGGTGGTATTCTTTTGACAATCTTTGGTTCCCTTAGTAACAAGCATTTTTAAATAAAATCAATGGATAACTATCTATTCCCTTGTGCATTCTTGTTCATCAAAAGGACAGTTAGGTGATTTGTTATGATACTTTAGACTAGGGTTTTTCAAA